AAACCCAAGCAAAACTATCCTTTTTTTAATTTGAATAAGAGATTAAGAATGTACCTATCATTTAAAGAAAATAACCTTGGCAAATCCTGAAATGCAAACCGCGGACTGGAAGGTACTGCATCTCGCGACACTAAAACCCAAGGAGGCGGCTAGTGTGCAGTACTCCAGATAAAGAAGAAGGCAGAAGAATCCTATATCCCATATACGAAAGTATGGCGCCTGAAAAAGCGGCATTCCGAGGATAAGGATGCTCACATCCTGAAGCCATGCGAGGTGGTAAAGGACCTAGGTTTGAAAACCATCGTGGATGCTGCCCAGGGAATGACGCTGAACATGTCCGACGAGGAAGAAGACGGTACCCTGATGGCAGTAGTCAACCCGTCGTATGGAAGCAGGAAGGGTCTTCACTCTAACCTCATGTATCATTACAGCTAAAACGCTTCCTGCTACATGGCACACGACTGAACAGCTCCACCAGAGGAACTCAGAAGCCTGGTTGATGCCAGCCCGAAGGACCATCAACTGCACGTGAGTCCAGACGCCAACGCACACAATAGCGTGTGTCGACGACAGAGGTGAGCCACTTTTAGATTTTATACTCTCCACTAATTTATACATATGTAGCGAACGCAGGGGAGGATATCTTTGAGAGACCATTATTCTTAGGCCACAAGTACATACAGTTTTACTAAAAATTCGAACGCTCTCCTAAACTAACCGTATTTAGTACCCCCGGAACACTAACTGGGGAAACTTTAAGAAGACAATCACAACAAGACTCGCGACTAGACCGGGCTTGGTAAAATCCGCGGAAGATATAGAGAAGTCCCTAGATACCCTCTGCAAGGAATTGCTAGATGCGGGTCGCGCATCTTGCCAGAGCAAATGAACAAGAAAATGACACTGAAATTAAAACCATGCAAGAACTTGGCGAATCAAGAGAACAAAATGCAGCAAGTAGCAACATGCAAAATCGTTTCGGAGTAAGTGGAAGACAGATTGAAACAGATATATCAGTTAAGAACAGCTCGATTGACGAAAACACAAGAACGCTGAAAGACCTGCTTCCCATAAAGTTTGGAGCAAAACAGTGCACATTGGGATGAAATGCCTTTATTTTGGCCACAACCGTAATTTTAAAGCTAGAAAGTTGAAACTTGGAGAATTTGCTGCTTATATTATTTGTGAATTTCGGTTTTTTTTTTTTTACACTGCCACCTTTCCTTCCCTGCCACCCACATAATAGAACTGCAGTATATTCATATAAAATTCATATTAATGTTGTTATATTTTTTTTTTTTTCATTTTTTTATCCATAATTGTTAGAAAATTTTTTTATTTTTATATTTTTGCATATTATAACATAATTTGATAAACGAAAACTTAAAAACAAGAAAGGAAGCTAACTTCGGCACGCCGAAGTTTGTATACCCTTGCAGATTGGTTTCGATGTTTTTATTATAGATTTGAATGCTGAAAACACTCACAAAACAGAGTTTCATTACATTTTACCTATACTTATTATGTTTACAGTTTGACAGTTACAGTTTTACATTCACACCTTTACATTTTCCCTACATTTACCGATCGCTTCTATGGCAGCTATATGATATAGTTGTCCGATTTTCATAAAAATTATACCAAAATTCTAGAATAATAAAATAAGCTTATACCCCGGAGTAGATCAAAATACGTTGAAAAACAACGGAGTTATAATTTCTTTTCTATTAAGTTCCCGATTGTTCCTATGGCAGCTATATCATATAGTCGTCCGATTTTCATAAATTTTTTTTACCAAAATTCAGAAATAATATAAAATAGCAATATCTAAAAAATGGTGCAAAAATGTTGAAAAACAGCAAAGTTATAATTTTTTTTCTAAAAATTTATCGAACATTTGTATGGCAGCTATATGATATAGTCGTCCGATCCGGCCCGTTCCGACATATATAGCAGTGAGAGTATATAGAAGACTATATGTAAAGTTTAATTCAGATAGCTTTAAAACTGAGGGACTAGTTTGCGTAGAAACGGACAGACGGACGGACGGACAGACGGACAGACGGACATGGCTAGATCGACTCGGCTGTTGATGCTGATCAAGAATATATATACTTTATAGGGTCGGAAAGGTCTCCTTCACTGCGTTGCAAACTTCTGACTGAAATTATAATACCCTGCAAGGGTATAATAAGTACATAAACTTGTATTAATATAAACGTTCTTCTTCTAAATCAAAATCTAAATATGGTATACTTGTAAGGTCGTCTTTAATATTATATACTTGGGCTGCATCTTCTGGATTTGGAGAAGCTAAAAGTGCAATAACTTCACTTGGCAATAAGTGTGATTTTGAACTCTTTTTTTGAGCGATGCTTGATAAGTAAGGATCAGAAGAATCCAAAGCTCGATGAAATACGTCAGTTAAATTGTTCACTCGGCTATTTTTCCTCGCATGCAAATCAAAAAGTAGCGATGACATTGCGATTATTATCCAGGCAAACTTCCTGTAAGTCACCTCGACGAATTCCAACCTTGCTCGCATCTGTTGAAATATCAAACCCCCCCGCAAGTTCCCGCAACTTATTTAAATGCTATCTGAATATACACATAATAACACATACTACCACATAAGCTGTTATTTGAATCCTGTTGTATCTTGCTAGATATGCTCCACGAAACACAAATATTTTAAGGTTAGAATCAACAAAACTAGTGTTTACGTATTTCATTAAAAGCATGACAAAACAAAAGCACATATAATTAAACACTGTTACAGATATTTTCTACATACCATGAGAAACATTTTCCATTTTAAGGTATTTTAATTGGTCAAACTGTTTAAGAATACGTGAACGTCAAAGTTAAGAAACTTGTCTAATCAGCAAACTTGCACGCACTACGTGGCAAGAACAGTTGACTTTCAAGGGCTGGTGGAAGACAACGGCTGGACAATAAAATACCAATTAAATATTTTTGATGTCTAGGGACATTTCTTAGCTTAAAATAATTGTAACAATATTGATATATTAACACGAATTTTTTAGGTTTTGGCCAAAATAAAGGCATTTCATCCCAATGTGCAGTGGATGCTTGATTACAGCGGAAAGCTTCTCGAAAATTATCCCGAAAATTGAATCCATACCAGTAAAGAATTGGTTCGACAATTTCAATCAGAATGCTGCAGCCTACGGTCTGAACATCAAACACTTGTATGTGCAGGCTCGTGCAAAAATGACGAACACGGCGAAATTGTTTTTGGATTCAACTTTTGCACACCAATACTCAAAGATCCGTATGTGCTGGATACAGAGTTCAGTCGTCAGCGTGTGCAGCGCGGATGTTCAAAGGCAGCTCGGTGATCGGAACTTCCGATTCGGAAAAAACGCAAGCAGGAATCATTTCATGTATACCTACTTAAGTGATTATGTACATCACTTGGCAATATTGATGCACGTTTAGTGATCCGTTATCATGTAGACGGCATGAGGAGGGACTTCAGATACTCTGTCTACTGTTGCAAAACGTACAGGAGCAGATGAGGTGTATGGAGCATTTACCAACTATTTTGGCTGTTGTACAAGAGCAAAAGGCACAGATTGCGTCAGAATTTATCCGCACTAAATTTAAATGAATTAAATGACAAGGAATTTTAGTTTTTCTAATGATTTTTTTCTAACAAAGAGCAAATTCCCCGAAGAGTGTCTATAGGTGGTATAGGCATCCAAAATCTTTAAAATAAGGTAGAGGTAGGCGGTTTATATTAAATAGTAACAATTGGGGACATATTGGGGCAAGAATATACAGAAAAAACGCCAACTATTTTGGGCATGCTTGTAGCTTTGGCGCCACGTTTTAAATTCCATATCTCATTTGTTCCTCGCCAAGTTGTTTACATTTTCGTGGTGAATGGTCAAATTAAGAAGAAGAATCAGAGTTGCACCGAAAAACTATCGCCAAACAAACCGTGTTTAGATTTTAATGTTGATCTAACGGCGGTCCATTTGGGAAAATTCGGAACGGCAAAACCTTATGGACCGTTTGTTCAACGGATGTTGAATGTGCTTTAATGTTGTGTGGGAAGACCCTATTAACACGTGTTATAGCGGCAAAACTCCATATAAAAAACGGTGTGAAAAAAGGAAGAAGAAATTTGTGCCTTGTCGATTTTGCCGGTACTCTGACGACGAAAATGACGCCTGCGCAAATTGAATGGCGTTGCAGGATCAAGATAGTAAACAGCTGATCTCGGGGTGTAACAATAATTCATTTGATTTTTTCTTACACCCAAAATATGGAGCGAAAATTGAAAGAAAAGTATAATTTTCCGACCGACAAATTTTCTGCCCGCGAAGATAAAGTGGCATTAATAAGTGCGGTCAGGGCGAAGCCCATAATATGGGATTTGACCCAAAAAGGGCATTTTAATGCCATATTCCTTAACAATGCCTGGGAGGCTGTTGCCGCGGAGTTACAAAAAGTTAAGTCCTAAGCAAGAAATCGTTTGAATGGGGCGTCGACCAGTTTTCTTTTTTTCCTTCAGCTCTTTAGCGGCGAAATACATTAAGAAAACACCAAAATCCAATCCGTTTGAATTCATCTTTATTTGTTTACAAACAATAAACAGCTGTTCAGTATTACCCTTTTTATGACGTTTCATGGCTTTTCCTTAATTTTTTTGCTCACACTGGTTACCGAGCCAAATAAAGAGCAATTCCGCTATAACACGTGTTACACCGATTTTCGTCGTCAGAGTACTATGCAAGAGTACTTAATGCATTGACAATTCATTAAAGATTGCATTTAAATGACATTAGTCGTCCTGCTCGGAGTTGTGTAAAATCCTATGGAGCTGTCAAATCTCTAATAAAATCTTTAATGCGAAAGTATCTTAATAGTACAAATGATGAATTGAACCAGACATTATAACAATAAAACATATATTTTAACAAACTAAAAATATGAAACAATACAAAATAAACCAACATGAAATAAACATATTTCCGACTATAGTTTTTATTTCATGAAAGAGATTACAAATATTTTAAATGTACTTAAAAAATTATTTGTTTGTTTTACCAATTACTGAGGAAATCAAAACCTCTTGGTATGTATAGATCCGGAGATAAAAGTTTATCGTTCTCTTTTGGACCGCTACTTTCTTTAAATTCGTTATCACTATCTATTAAAATGGTATTTTTTGATTCAACATGTGAAGTTTCATTATTTTGTTGGTCATTGTCGTGTTGTCCAACACTGTTTGTAATTAAATCTTCATCGCCTTTATAATGAGGAAGAGCTTCATTAATATTTATGATAGATGGCTTCTTCGTATTGTTCATAGCTTCAGACTTAATAGATTTTGACACATCAATTAGTGTGGTAGCCGCTCTTATAGATTCTATAGACGGAATATTTATTTGAGATTTTGTACGATAACTAAATGGAAACGAATGTTCATCTCTGCAATTCCCGGCATGATTTTCATCATACAACATTTTCATACCGACGTTTTGATAAATATAAGTATGTAAATCTTGGCCGTTATAGGAATAAACCATGTTAGTCTTTACCTGAGAAGCCCTTTCTGTTATACATTTGTTGTTGTATTTATTATATAAATCTGGTTTTATAAAAAAATTGTTCAATACGTTTTCTTGATCATTCAAGGTTAGTGAATGCCAAGTTTCTTGATCATACGTTGACTTTACTCTATTTATGTCACGAGCAATGTTAAGAGAAAGTGAATTAAGATAAGGAAAGTAATTATCCAATGTCAGTTCCATTTTTTTACCTGAAAAAAAGTTAAAAATATAATTGTTATATTGGTTTATATTTGGTACATCCTAAATCGTTATTAAACACTTACTCATATGTATGTACATACTTCTGTAAATAAGCAAGTTCATACATATGTATATGTAAATGTAGACTGAAAATGCTACAATGACAAACTTACATTTGTTTGATGGATATAATATATTAATTTTTCATGGTACACACATGTACGAATGGTTATGTGCGCGGCTTCTGTTCTTGATGAAAGGAGCTTAAAAATAAAGATTAAAAAGATTCAGCTGCATACAAAGGTTAATTTATTATGTTTTTACACATGTATCCCAAAGATACATTTGCTTACAAATAATGTAATAATTTAACCAACATATCATATACTTCTATTAAAATCATTTTAATGCCTTTAAATTTTTTGTCAGTATGTAGTCATCGGTTTATATGTATGTACAAACATCATATTGATTTTGTAAATACATCCATATGCATGTATGTATGTATTTGTTCGTCATTACACCCTAAATAACAAAGTCTGAAAATGTTAAAAGAATGCATGTAGATTTATAAATATACTTAAATAGTTATATATACAAACTTATATTTGTTAGGTCGTTTTAATTCTCATAAAAATTAAATTTATCCAAAATCACTTCACTTTAAATTTTTGAGCAGCGTCAGATAAAAATGATTTATAAGGTAGAGCGAAAAAATATCGATACTCGTATCGATATAAATGATTGTTTACTTGAGTAAAGTATTAATGGGGGTATTCCTTTATAGTGTCTTGCACACAGCTTGCATCTGTTGTGCATCCAAATTTGATGACCGTCTGTTGGCGATAGGTAAGCCTAGTGCTGGGAGAACGAAAATACGCTGTCACAATTGTGACAGTGCACATTGGGCCAGCGAGCCGATAGTTCGACGAAAATTAAAGTTTTAAAGCTAGGTTCTTCAAATTTGGTACATATATTAGTGTCGATTCACATAAAAGCATATATAAGTTACAGACTGATCAGACCACGCCTTCCCTAGCCGCCCATATATGATAGGTTTCCTCTTGTTGATATTTGTACGGTAATAAATGAATTCAACAAATGTTTTAAATTAATTTTTAACCTTAACCTTAATATTAATAAGTAAAAAATAACAATGCATTCAAAATGAATATAAATAAGTATTTTTCATTTTAAAATGTTCCTAACAGTCGTCTTCTACGTCAAGTTCTATTGAAAACGGATTTTCAGAGTCAGAATCTAAATCACTATCACTATTGCTCCGTGCTTAAGTCGAGTTCTATCAGTTCATTATAAATCCAACTCGTTACGGCAGATGCTCTAAGATTGTTTTCTATATAGACATCAAACAGTTGCGCATAGGTGATCTCAAACACAGCTACAATATGTCGGATTTATATATATAGGTGAAAAAAGATGCAAAAAAGCTTAATAAAATTATTTTATATACGCTTTGCACTTTAATGACACATATTTACTTTTTGGCACAAGTTGGCACAAAATTTGTTATAGTCTACAACAGATGGGTTACCAGGTTAGCTTTTTAATACTTTTGGACAACACAAATAAACGCACACATAGAACACATTAACAAACATGAACAAAATCTTTTTTAATACGAATATTCTACATACCTTTCCCTTTCTTTTCCATAATTTTAGTGAAAATTGCTTAAAGCACAACAATTTTGTCGCGCTCGCAAGTAAACAAAATCTTTCTCGCGTTTTTGAGTTTCGTACGCACGCAATCAAAGAGTTGACTTTGAAGGGACGCCAAAATTTTCGGGATGCATCAAAACAATTAAAATCTTTTGATTCAATTTAGTCAAAGTATATACTTTTCAAATTTTATTAATAAAATAGGTTTACTTTCTATGAAAAATTTGAATTTTCGTCGATATATCGGTTCGCTGGCCCAATGTGCAGTGGCCAAACTCCATATAAAAATACTGCGATAAGAGGAAGAAGTAGAGTTTTTCTCTCGTTGCGGGTACAATCATAACGAAAATTATACCCGCGAAAATTGAAAAGCGTTGCCAGATCAATAGTGTAAACAGCTGATATAGTGCTGTCACAATAATTAATTTCAATTATTCTTACAGGCCTAATGGAGGGAAGGTTAGGTTAGGTTAGGTTTATCCGGACGGCACTCGTGGGGCCACACATAAGCTAATACAGCCCCTAGCTATCCGGGGAAATTTCTGGATGGACCTACAGACTATTTATGCGGGTTTCGAGAGCCTTGAAGATCAAGGTGTTTTTCGTAAAGGCATGGAGTTCGCCTGGCTTTCTCCTGGAGGCATTTTTCTAGCGATGCCAGATCCGGAGAGCCTAGGTATCTCATCCCTGCTGCTCTTTCACTCGCCAGTCCGACGCCTTCCTTTGCAAGTTCGTCCGCGGCCTCGTAACCGTCTATGCCTTGGTAGCTGGGAACCCAACAGATCCTCACTGACTTAGTCGTGCCCAGTCTATCCCTGCTTGCCAGTAATGGAGGGCATATTAATGCCAAATTTATTAACAATGCCTGGGAGGCTGTTGTAGCGGATGTACAGAAAGCTCCATAGCGGCGTAAAACATAAAAAAATTCCGTTTGAATTCAATTTTTTTACAAACAGCTGAATCATGGCTTTTCCTTAATTTCTTTGGTCATACTGGTTACCGAACAAAATATATAGCAATTGTGCTATCACAATTGTGACAGCGGATTTTCGTTCTCACAGTACTAGGCTTTATAGGGTCTTCCCACACACCGTCAAAGCGCATCCACCGTCCGTTGAACAAACGGTCATAAGGTTTTGCCGTTCCAAATTTTCTCATGTTGGACCGGCATCAAAGTGCATCTAAAAATTTAACTACCGTTTGTTAGGCGATCGTTTTTCGTTGCAACTCTGATTTCTTCTTCTTAACAGTGAAAATTTGACCATTCACAACGGAAATGTAAATAAACTTGTTGAGGAACAAATGAAATGTGAAATTTAAAATGTGGCACCATAGCTACAAGCATGCCCAAAATAATTGTTCGTGTTTCTTTTTTTTGTAAATTCTTGCCCCAAAGTGTCCCCAATTGCTACTATTTAATATAAAACGCCTACCTCTATGTTACAGATTTGGGAAGCCTATACCAACTATACAAACTCTTCGGGGAATTTGCTCTTTGTTGAAGAAAAATCGCTAGAGAAACTCAAATTCCTCGTCATCTAATTCATTTTAAGTAAGTGCGGATAAAATCGGAAAAACTGTGCTTTGGCTTTTGCTAAACATCCTAAATAGTTGATAAACCATGCATTTTACTCCCACATCATCCATTTTTGTTTACGATTTTAAGAGCCACAGCTGATCGATCAGCTGTAATCGGATGCAAGATGCACTTGACACAGCTGTGTGGGGACACGAGTTTCGCATCTGCGAAAAATCCCAACCGTTCCTCACAGATGCTCTGAGTGGGAAGAAAGTATTGGGCGATGGTTATTCGGTGAAACTCTGATTTCTTCTTCTTGACAGTAAATATTTGATCTGTGATATTTGACTCCCCACAAATAAATATTAAAATAAATTTGAATAAGCCTGTAATATAGGGAACTTAAAATAACTGAGGCTACAAACATAGTGCGCGCTGAGACGAAGCTGAAAATGAAGACGAAGCTGAAGACGAATTGGTTGCGATGCGAGTAAGCTAATAGGTTGCATAGTGCAAGACGAATTTGTTGCGATTTTGTAATGTTAGTCGCTATGGATTTCTCATCAACATTCAATTTCTTTGAAATATCATTCCAATTCTGGTATAGTTTATTCTGCTGGTCCCATAAACATAAACATAAACAAACGGCTGCAATTAATTCTTCATTTATTTTTACAAAACATGTGCTTCAGGAAAATCGTCACAAGTAAATTGCAGTGTTGCCAAATGAAAATTTGGCTTTCCCAAATCTCAAAAAGTTGAAATTTCCCCCTAAAAATTCCAGTTTTTCCCCTAAAATGTAAAAAAAAAGAAGAAGAACAACTTAAAATAGCAAGCAATTCGTCTTCAAAAACAGTACTGCTCCGTTTGAAGCTGATCGCTTGCGTTTCGTCTTCATCTTCGTCTTCGTCTCAGCGCGCACTATATTTGCTGGCGAGCGAATTCATATGAATTGTTCTGCACTGTTTTTCGTCTTCAGCTTCGTCTTCATTTTCAGCTTCGTCTCAGCGCGCACTATGTTTGTAGCCTGAGATTTAACGATAGTTAAATCGCCAGTCGCTTACCCGTACTTCCATCACAACTAGAAGGCGATCGAACTCCCAAACACACACCAGCACATCGGCGAGAAATTCACCACGAAATGTGGTCACATGACCAACCGCCGCATAAGAGCGAGCGAGAGAGCACACGATCGTGCTAGACAAGAAACCCCGAAAATGGCATGCGCCCATGGGAAAGAGCGAGAGAATGCGAGGACAGAAGCTTTCAGAAGTCAAATCGAAGAGACGCGGAACTTCGCGAAGCGAAGACAAATCAGTTACGGAGGAGAGTTTCTTAGACGAGGACGAGCACACAGAATGAGATTATTTTGCAAGCGGAGAAGGCGTTTGCCCCTCCGGGCAGTTACCAAGAGGAGTGGCCACGCGGCAAGCCATCGAGTGACGGAAGCACCGGAAGAGGGCGAACAGGCGCCCCACAGAAGACCCAGCCGTCGAGTGACCCTGGAGAAAACGGGGACCACGAGGATGGAGAACCGGCCGTCTAGTGGCGCCGGAGACAAGGAAACCAGGAGGATTCGGGTAACGGTCGTGCCGGCCCAGGACCAGCGGCGGAGCACTCACCTTTTCCCTCGTGTGTGTGTGACCGTGAGAGTGAGACGGGTGAGTGTGACAAGTGAAACCGCAACGAGTGGAACCCGGCTAAAATGGCCACGTGAACAGAAAATCTCAGCGGGCCTCGATGCGGTATCACCTCAGAGTAAGCTGGCGAACCTTAACACAAGACATAACCTCATTCAAACCTGCTTACTATAAGTCAAAGAAAATTCTGCATATTTTTATAACCATCGCACTAACATGAAAACCAGACGCTAGGAGAAATAAATAAAACTCGGTCACGAAAATAAATATTAAAAATAAATGCTTCTCCATTATTAACCAGTCTTCCACTGAGAGAAATAAATAAAACCCAGTCACGGAAAACAAATATTTAAATAAATGCTCTCTATCATTTTACATACACACATGAACCCACAAGCTGGGCCACGCGATAAATACATGTATTTCGAAATCCGATACTTGTCTGGGGCCAGGCTCAGCCGGCCGCATAATTTAGAACGGCAGCGAGTGCTGACGGAGGTACATCCGATCCATGGTAGTGACCCTTTCGGCGAGTGCCGGCTGCGATCTCACCTGGCGAATGCCTAGGTTCTAGATAGAATAGTTTGCCCCTAGAAAAGTGTCCCTATAATCGATCCCCCTCTCGGTCTCCTCGTGGCGAGTGCCGTGAGCCAGACCCAATACGCGTTACCGCTGACCCCTTTCGTTTTTTTGCAAATACCGAAATAAAGCCGTTTCTTACTCAGTATCCCGGTGGCTGACACTCTCCATCTCACGTCAGCCCACCGTTCGTTGAAGACCCTTGTCCCAATCTTTATCAATTTTCTGTAAAGAGATCCTGGCGTGACTGAGTTCACCCCAGCCTTAGAACTACCTTACAGACTAGACGTCTGCATGAGTGGCAAAAAAAATCGCATTCAAATGCACAAAGCTCAAAATGAGTTGAAAGAATTTGAAGCAAATGCCAAACTGAATTGAATGGGTTGACTCGCTTACGTACGACTCAGCCGCACAAAGAATAAAGAAGGAGAAACGAATGGAATGAAATGAGACTCAGAAAACTGAGACGCTGAATTCGAATGATTCGAGTTGCAACTGTAAATAACACTACAGTACCAAATGTTTCAGAAAAAATAGGTTTGATCGACTAAAAACAAAATAAAAATAACGCGGACTACAAATGCATACAGATTCGTTGGCTTCTTCTCCTGTCTTAGTTTCTTTCATGTTTCTTTGTCTTTGATCCGCGATCTCTGAAAATTCGAATTCGTTCAAACAACTCGAATCATTCGAATGTAACACGCATTGCCAAATTGGTTGTTTCTTTTTTCGCGTCATTCGTTCTCTTTCATTTTGTTCAACGTCCCAAGCTATGAAGCAAAACGAGAACGCATACCTGATACAATGTCGTTTCATTTCTTGCATTCCATTCATTCCATTCCATTTCATTCGAATGTACTCAACGAAGCGTATGTTGTGAGTGGTCTATTAAATACCATTCACTACGAAAATGTAAAAGAAGATGGCGAGGAACAATTGAAATCTGGTCAATTTTTTTTTCTTCTATCGGAGTGTTTTGTTGGTTCTTATCGTTTCTTACTGTTCAAACAGCTGATTTGTTCAGTTCTTCCCTTTTATATTTGTATAAATATAGTGCTGGAGCTGAGAAAATTAAGGCATTTTAAATGCTGCCACATATTTTATAATTTAATTTAATTTAGTAGTAGTATATTTATTTATAAACAACATTTTTGGCTTTCGATAATTTTTTTTCGATAGACTTATAGGCCACTCGCCAAATCGAAAGTTTTGGTTAAATACGGCAAAAAAAATGTGTGACAAATCTGAGGCGGGGATAGAAATTGTTTATAAATAACTACGTACCAGAATAATCTTGTGGTGGTGTGGAATAAACTTAATAGACCGCTGAGTAACCAATGTTTTTCCTTTTGTAAATAAGATCTGATTTGACATTAAAAAATGTACATTTCATTCCGGCCAATCGCATAAATTATACGAATTCGAAAACGGGAGCACCGATTTTGTGATTTCAAAATCGAAATCGCAAGATTTTTACAAATTCAGTAAACGTAGCAGGCCTGAATTTTTTATATTTCTTTATAGGGTCTTCCCATACAACATTAAAGCGCATTCAACATCCGTTCAACAAATGTTCCATAAGGTTTTGCCGTTCCGAATTTTCCCAAATGGACCGGCGTTAGTTCAACATTAAAATCTAACCACGGTTTGTTTGGCGATAGTTAGGCGATAGTTCTTCGGTGCAACTCTGATTCTTCTTCTTAATTTGACCATTCACCACGAAAATGTAAACAAACTTGGCGAGGAACAAATGAGATATGGAATTTAAAACGTGGCGCCAAAGCTACAAGCATGCCCAAAATAGTTAGCGTTTTTTCTGTATATTCTTGCCCCAATATGTCCCGAATTGTTACTATTTAATATAAACCGCCTACCTCAACCTTATTTTAAAGATTTTGGATGCCTATACCACCTATAGACACTCTTCGGGGAATTTGCTCTTTGTTACAGAAAAATCATTAGAAAAACTAAAATTCCTTGTCATTTAATTCATTTAAATTTAGTGCGGATAAATTCTGACGCAATCTGTGCCTTTTGCTGTTGTACAACAGCCAAAATAGTTGGTAAATGCTCCATTTCAAATTTGCAACTGCCAATTCGACAGCCTTTGTTTACGTTTTCATGAGCCACAGCTGTTCGGATGTTAAATGTGCTTTAATGTTGTGTGGGAACACGAGTTTCACATTTGTGAAAAATCCCAAACGTTCCTCACAAATGTGCTGTGTGGGAAGACAGTATAAGAATCGTTTCATTTTGTTATATATATAAATACTTTAGTGTAGTAGTGGAAAATCCGCATTACAGTCTGGTCATCGATTTGGCTTTTACATATATATTAAATCTGGTCACATTACCAAATTAGTGTTGCAAACACTATGGAAATATGTATACATATTCGTCAATGTACAATAACTAAAACTAAAATTAATTTTTTATCAAATTGCGATAAATGTATAACAACTGAATAATTGCAATGATCTATGACAATTTTCAAGTATTACGTTAACAAAGCAACCAGTGTGCATTGGACAAACATACAAAAATATAATGTGCGGATTAATAATGTAATTGTATAAAATTTAAATGAGTAAATACACAAAACTGAACGTCAATCGCTAAAAATTCGTCAGTTGTGAAAATGCTGCGAAAATATGTATTGTGTGCAGATTTAATAATTTTCTTTTATGGTTTGAGCATTGCCAACTTTCTGGATTGGCGACATCACTCTGTGCGATGCAAACAAATGTCGCCGCCCACCCCTGCGTTCTCAACAACCGACATTGTGGCACAGTTTAATCTGCCTTTAATGGCCGCGACTACTCCTTCGAACTTATTTGGAGTTAATCGTACAAATAATCTTGAAAATGCCGCAGACTCGCAGTTAAAAAACTATTTTACACATCTTACATACGATTTAATGAACAATGTTTTATTCGCGGGCGCCACAAATAAGATATTAAAGCTTAATGAAAATCTTCGTGTGCTCGCGGAGGCTGTAACAGGACCTTTGAATGATTCACCGCAGTGCCATGCTGGCGGGTGTAACGAGGACATTGAAACATCGCTGGTAAACAATTATAATAAAATCTTAGTTGTGAGCTATGCTCATGATGGAATACTCATTTCATGTGGCAGCACTCGACAAGGTAAATGAAAAAAATAAATATATGTACACTCAGCGTCATATCTCTGCGTACAGGGCAAATATTTTTAAACTTGTCACTTTGACAGGTAAAATTTTAGGCTAGACGTGATATAAAAACATTATGATTTTTGTTACGGATAGTCGTAGCAATTACCTTCATATTCCATATTTTAGAACATTTTTATCTTCTTTGGTACCCCTATAATTCGTATTTCGCCAAAACCCTTTAAAATAACATGTTTTCAAAAGTTTGCGTACAGCTGAATATAGTTGCATTTATTGGTAAGTTAGTAGTCCGATTTGAATTGCATTATCAATATAGGCAAAGATGCAACTGGCAAACGATTTGTCAATGCATTTTTAATTATGGACGGCAAGGGAAAGCAAATTCAAGACTCCGAAATAAAATCATCTTAAAATTGCATTTGGAAGGAAAAAGCTATAGAGATATTGGCGGAATCTTAGGTCGCGCACACTCTTCAGTGCAGAGAGTCATAAGTAATTATATTGCGACCGGTTCTATACTTCCCAAGCTCCGAGAAGGCCGCCCATGTCGATTAACAAAAAGGGAAAAAAGGAAAGTAGTTTTCATGGTCCAAAACAATCCGAAATTGACTTCCAGAGAAGTGCAGCAAGAGGTGGAAAGTCGGTTTTCTAAAACCGTTTCGTACTCGACTATCCGAAGAATTATACAAAAATCCGGATTCATGAGCTGCGTGGCCAGAAAGAAGCCCTACATTTCCAAAACAAATCGAGAGAAACGAATTCAATTTGCAAAGGACCATATTTCCAAGCCTCCAGAGTTCTAGAAGTCTGTGATTTTTTCCGATGAAAGCAAGTTTTGCATATTTGGAATAAAAGGAAAAAAATTAATCTGGCGCAAAAGCGGAGAAGCCCTTGAAAAGCAGAATTTACTTCCAACTGTGAAACATGGAGGAGGTGGAATAATGATATGGGGTTGTATGGCAGCTAACGGCGTTGGAAATCTGCACTTCATCGATGGTATTATGGACCATAAGATATATATCCAACTGTTAAAGGATAATTTGGTCCAAAGTGCAACCAAACTGGGGCTACAGAACAAGTTTATCTTTCAACAAGATAACGATCCCAAGCATACAGCTCAAAATGTCAAGCTCTGGTTGCTGTATAACGTGAAAAATCAACTGAAAACACCGCCACAGTCTCCAGACCTGAACCCCATCGAGCACCTGTAGGATTTATTGGAACGCAGAATTAGGCAGCACTCAATTACATCCCAAGCAATGCTAAAAACCATATTGCAGCAGGAATGGGACCAATGGGACCATATAATCTTTGAACTTTCATAGCGAACGGTCGTGTTTTTGTTTTGCGCTCCGAACTTTTGTGTTGTTTTGCATTTAAAACCACCGGGGTCCAGATTTTAACTTGATAAAATACAATATATAACTTTGCCGTTTTGCTACGCGAGTGCATGTGCATGTGTCTTTAAGTGTTTATTTAATATATACATACATCTAATTAATTCACTTTTAGTTTTTGCGTTTTTCTTATCCCCTCTTTGTGTTGTCCCGTTTATTTGCTCCTTGCGGCACTTAGGCGGCTCAAGCTTTCGTTTGTTTTCTCTGCTCACCCACGCTTACGCTCCCGCTCTCTTGTTTTTGTTCGGTACTGCTTATCAGCGCACAGTGGTTATAGGTTTGTGAAAATGGTCTCAAATTTTATTTGCGATATTAAAGGCTGCCAAAAAGAGGTTTTGGCAGATCAGCCCAGCCTTCACTGCTGGCTTTGCGATGCGGTCGTTCACGCTAAGTGTCTAAGCTTAACGGGCCGTATCGCTGACGCAATTTCTGCCAAAAATGGCTTGCGCTATTGTTGCCATGCCTGCCGTGAGGTGGAGAAGGATATGTTATCCTTCATGCGGCAAACCAAACGCGGATTTAGTGAACTTAGGGTCAATTTTCGTAAAACAAACGACCTGTTCACAGAGCTGGACGCTCAATTTAGCGACATGAAGCTGTTAAGCGAGTCGCCAAAGCGAAAAAAATCTGCTGCTGGTCGGCTGCAATTGGGCGAACCCCAGCCACCAAAGATTTGGCACACTCCCTCGGCACAGCCCCCGTCACCGACACCAGCTCCAATGGTGTTAAGATCGGGAACGGCTAAAGATTCGGCATTCGAAGGTGCCGGGGCAGAAATGGCAGCAGCTCCGCCAGTATTAATAGTTGAGTCCGCTGCGGGGTCTCAATCTCTGACTCCGCAGACTTCAAAAAAAATCTCGGCTATCCCTAAGGGCAAAAATAGGGCTCAACCACTAGCAGAAGTCGGTAATGCTGCGTTACCAAAAACCCTCACCGCTATTCCACCATTAAAAACAATATTTGTTTCCCGGCTTGCCCCTGATCTCGCATCGGAAGATGTACTAGCTCATATACGGAGCAAAACACAAGCCAAAAGTGTGAAAGTGGAAAAATTCAATTTCTCATACCCCAGAGATATCTCATCTTTCAAGATAAGTGTCTCCCTCGATCTTTTTGACACAATTTGTTCTGGTGACTTCTGGCCCGAGCACGCTGTAGTCAAGGAGTACGAGGTAAAGATAAAGAAAAAACGGCCTTCACGGCCGGCACAAACCACAGTGACTGCGGGCGTCACGGCAGTGCCAAAAAACTAAATACCTCCCTCCTACTTTCCTATCAGAATACTAGAGGCCTACGCAGCAAGCTCTCTAAATTATATTCTGATAGCTTTTCGTTTGCATCCCAGGTGATTGTGTTTACCGAAACCTGGTTAAAGCCGGAGATTCTCAGCTCCGAAATTTTTCCGGGTAAGTACACAACTTATAGATTGGACCGTCATTCCCAGCGAGGTGGTGGAGTTTTAATTGCCGTTGACTCCACCCTTATTTCCGAACTGGTTCAAATTGACGATCTCACAGGTATTGAATTTATCTGTGTAAAACTATCATTTCCAGGTAGTTTTATCTATATAACTTGTTCTTACGTTCCTCCATCTGCTGAAGAGCCTATTTATTGGAAACACCTTTCGGCAATTCAGGCTGTTTCCAACATGCTTACAGATAGAGACCAACTAATAACTCTAGGAGACTTCAATATACCTGGAGCTCGTTGGTCATCAGATGGTGCGTCTAATGTCCTCCAAACTGCGGCACAGCATGACCTCATAGATGGTTTGCTTGACATTTCGTTGTCCCAAGTTAACCATGTCGTAAATTCTTTAAATCGCCTACTAGATCTGTGTTTCGTCTCTGATCCTGTAGGTGTAAACTTAACAAGAGTCGATCCATTGACGCTTCCCGAAGACCCTTACCATCCTACTTTCGAAGTGACCATCGATTTGGGGACTGTCGTAAAGACCAAACCTGATTTGAGTTGCTCAGCAACTAAAGTTCGCTGCTTCCGTAAAGAAAATTTTCAAAGATACCTTGATTTCCCAATTTAATTGGTCTGAACTCTACAGATGTACTGACATGGCGTCCGCCGTGGATATTTTTTACAGTGCCATGAATTCGTTCTTTGCATTGTGTGTTCCTTTAGCCTATCCGTCGGTTTCTAGTAAACCACCTTGGTTCACCAAAGAGCTGACACGCCTAAAAAACGTTAAGTCTAGGCTTTATAATCGCTATAAACGCACCGGATCTCCTACTGTTCATTCAAGGTATCTTAGTGCTCGGTCGAATTTCACCGTGCTTAACGCGCAATGTTATAAAAGTTATTTAACTCGCTGTAGGGTTCAGTTCACGCAGGACCCGAAACAGTTTTATAACTTTGTTAACACTAAGCGAAAACCCAATTTGCATCCTTCAGCGCTTTCGTTCAAGAACGCTACAGCAAACTCTGATCAGGCCATCGCCGATCTCTTTGCCGAGTTTTTCAAAACTACGTATTGTTGCTCGAATAGCTTAGATCAGACTTACTCTTTTGATTTGCCCAAGTCGAACCTAATTTTCAGTCCTATTTTAACCGAAAGCTCCCTTAGTTCGGATCTTCATCGTGTAAAACCAGTTTACTCACCGGGTCCCGATGGAATACCAGGCTGCGTGCTCAGGTATTGTGCCGGAGCTCTGTGCAATCCCCTTCTGAAATTGTTTACCTTATCTTTAGAAACCTCAGAATTTCCCCTTATTTGGAAGGAATCATTTATCATTCCTCTCCACAAAAAAGGTAGCAAATCGGACGCCAGCAACTATAGAGGAATCTCTAAGTTGTCGGCAATTCCAAAACTTTTCGAGAATGTAATTACTCCCCACTTGCAGCATTTATGCAGATCCGTAATTTCACCATGTCAGCATGGTTTTATGAGGCGAAGATCGACCACTACAAATCTCCTGGAACTCACCTCTTTCGTTATTAGAGGTTTCCAACGTAACTTTCAAACCGACGTGATTTACACAGACTTCAGTAAAGCTTTTGACTCGGTTAATCACTCTCTTCTTGTAAGGAAGCTTGACTTAACTTGAAACTTGACTTTCCTGTCGATCTTCTTAAATGGATTTTGAGCTATTTGAGTAACAGAACTCAAAAGGTTCTGTTTAAAAATGCTCTATCCAAATTCCTCAGAGTCACCTCTGGCGTTCCACAGGGTAGCCACCTCGGCCCGCTGCTATTTACATTGTTTATCAATGACCTCCCGCTGGTTCTAACGAATTCTAGAGTACTTATGTACGCTGATGACGTTAAGCTATGCGTGCAGTATAAGGACAGCTCTTGCCAGTCATACCTGCAATCGGATCTTAATAACTTTCAAGCATGGTGTCGTGCTAATTTATTACATCTCAATAACTCTAAATGCAAGCTGATGACATTTTCACGTGTCACTCCCCAGTTTGCCACTTATACGCTAAATGATTGCGCTCTTGAAAGAATATCTCTTGTTGATGATTTAGGCGTTCGCTTAGACCCTAAACTTTCGTTCTCTGAACATATTTCGTGCATGGTTAATAAAGCCAAAGGCATGCTCGGTTTTATTAAGAGGTGGTCGAAGGAATTCGATTCCCCTTATATAACGAAGACCCTTTTTACTTCGTTAGTTCGCCCTATATTGGAGTATGGTTCATGCGTCTGGAGTCCTCAATTCGGAATCCATATTAACCGTATTGAATCTGTACAAAAGAACTTTTTACTTTTCGCCCTCCGTGGCCTACCTTGGGATGCTGATGAGAGGCTACCGTCGTATTCAAGTAGACTCCTATTAATTAACTTACCCTCCCTAGCTAACCGTAGAACGATGCTTGGTGTCGTATTCCTCCATAACCTAATAAACGGTGATGTTGAGAGCCCCTTTCTCTTAGGGCAGCTCAATTTCCACGTTCCCCGACTAACATCTAGAACCCTTATTCCTTTAGTAGTAAATCACTGTAGGCGGGAGTTTGAAGTGCATGAACCCTTTAGGGTTTTATGTACGGATTACAACCGCCTCTCTGACATTATAATTCGTAGCGATAGCCCTTCTGTACTAAAAACTTTAATACTTGTAGAGTTAGCTCGTAGTGTATCACCGTAGTCTAATGTTGCATGCGTTCTTATTTATTTATCGTAGTTATTTAGTTACATTATATTATATTTTTTTTATATTTACTTTGCATGTGTTTTTATTTATTTATTTATCGTAGTTATTATTTAGTTACATTATTTTATATCTTTTATATTTGTTTTGCATGCGATTTTACTTAATTATTACTACTTTTATTATATTATATTTTTATTATATTATATATTTTTGTTCCCCTTATTAATTTTTGTTCTCTTGTAACGTTTCCTCGTTCTTATGTTCCTTAATTCACCGCGTCTATCTAGTTCGCGATTCGTGCCGTACGTCACACGGCTGCGCCCCTCGGTCGGTTGGGCGGGAGGTGGAAGCGGGACCCCGCGCGAATTAAAAAAAAAAAAAAAAAAAAAAAAAAAAATAGCCGAAGCTGAGACTGAGAAGTTGGTTAATTCTATGCCAAGACGTCTCGCCGAAGTCTTAAAACGGAAAGGTTATCCAACCTCATATTAAATTGCGATAAAATGGTCAATAAATGCAACTATATTCAGCTGTACGCAAACTTTTGAAAGCATGTTATTTGAAAGGGTTTTGGCGAAATACGAATTATAGGGGTACCAAAGAAGATAAAAATGTTCTAAAATATGGAATATGAAGGTAATTGCTACGACTATCCGTAACAAAAATCATAATTTTTTTATATCACGTCTAGCCTAAGATTTTACCTGTCAAAGTGACAAGTTTAAAAATATTTGCCCTGTACGCAGAGATATGACGCTGAGTGTATGTATATTTACTTGTTAAACCCTGGCAAATATTCTTATATTATTCTTATTACTTTTTATCTTCATCTTTTTACAGGATCTTGTGAGATCTATAGTCTTCCGAGATTTCCGGCAGCCCCACAATTTATTGCCATTCCCTTGGCCGCCAATGACGAAAATGCTTCTACCTATGCATTTGTGGGTCCCGCCCGATATTCCTGGAAGGAAGAAGATATACTATATGTTGGAACAACATTCACCAATGTCGGGGACTATCGACATGATGTACCGGCCATATCCTCACGCCGACTTGATGACTTGAACTACGCTGAATTTTCAATTCAACAGTCGATTATCAATATTGATGTTAAGTATCGTGATCACTTTCTTGTCGATTATGTCTACGGGTTTAACTCTTCCGATTATGCATATTTTATAATCGTACAAAAAAAATCGCATTTGGCAGACGAAGCGGGTTACATAACACGCTTGGCACGCATCTGTATCACCGATCCCAATTATGATAGTTATACGGAAATAACACTTCAATGCACTGCAACCGAAAATAATGTGGATTATAATATCTTACGCGACGCTAAGGTAACGCCGGCAAGCCAAAAGCTTGCCCAGCAAATGGGCATCAAAAAGGATGATCACGTTCTAGTTACGGTATTTTCACCATCAAAAGAGATTAGTGATCAGACGGAGAACAAATCGGCCATGTGTATATATAGCATTAAAGATATTGAGGATATGTTTATTGAGAATATACATTTATGCTTTAATGGCACGATTAAAGATAGAAATTTAGGCTACATCTCGGGGACTATTAATGATGGCAGATGTCCCATTGTCGGTTCCCTTGGAAATATCTATAATTTTTGTTCCGTTGGACTAAAGATAAGTGGTGTATCACCAATAACAACACATGCCCTTTTTCATTTTGATAATGTTTCGGTTACCTCAGTGACTGCCACTTCAACAACGGATCAACAGCATTCGTTGGCCTTTCTTGGCACGGACGTTGGTGTTATTAAGAAGGTACTGTTATCTGGCCAAAACCCCGGCGAATATGAGGAAATTGTGGTAGATGCCGGAAACCGTATATTACCCAATACTATGATGTCGCCTAAAAAGGATTTTCTATATGTTTTATCTGTGCGAAAGATTACCAAGCTGAGAATCGAACATTGCTCGGTGTACACAAATTGTTCAGGTTGTTTAGAATCGCGAGATCCATTTTGTGGTTGGTGTTCTTTGGAAAAACGTTGTACGGTGCGTTCGACATGCAAACGTGACACTTCCGCTTCGCGGTGGCTATCCCTGGGAAGTGGCCAGCAATGTATTGACTTTGAATCAATAATACCCGAAAAAATACCTATTAGTGAACTGACAAACTTACATTTGATTATTCGAACTTTGCCGGAACCTTTTAATGCAAAATATCGTTGCGTCTTTGGCAATTCAACGCCCATCGATGCTGAAATACTAGAAAATGGTGTAGGTCTTGCCTGTGCAACGCCTCCCCTCGATCAGAGACCTATAATACCCGGGAATACCGATCATGTTCTCGTACCCTTATCTGTCAGGAGTTCGGAAACCAACAAGGACTTTGTTTCAAGATCGTTTGCTTTCTTTGATTGTTCACATCATGGAAATTGTCAAGAGTGTGTTCAAAGCTCTTGGGGCTGTAATTGGTGTATTTTTGATAATAAATGCGTTCACCACAAATCTCAACAATGTCGTAATATCGAAAACGCCATAAGTTTGGTAGGACAATGTCCCCATTTAAAACAAAATCGTCAAGAGATACTATTGCCAGTGCGTGTACCCATGGAGATTCGTCTTGAGGTTGAGAATTTACCAAAACCAAAAAGCGCACATTCCGGATTTCTGTGCACGGTTCATATTGAAGCGGCTCAAATGCTACTTCCCGCCCACATAGAATCTAATCGGATTGTAGTTTGTGAGAAAACCCCTTACTTTTACGAAAGAAATACGTACGAGTACCAGGCAAAGGTCGTCGTTACATGGAATTTCCAGCACTATGTGGATACTGCCATGGTCACACTTTACAAATGTGATGTACTTGGCTCACATCGTGATCACGCCGATTGCAGCTTGTGTGTGACACGTGACCAAAAATACCAATGCTCGTGGTGTGGCAACGCGTGTGTTTATAACGAGACATGCAGTGGAGAAAATAGATCAATTATTGATTCAAAAATAATTTCTAACGATTGTCCCTTGCCTCGAATCGATATTATAAAACCCCTTTCGGGACCTATCGAGGGCGGCACTCTAGTTACAATCGAAGGCAGTAATTTGGGAATTCGCGAAGAGGATGTTAGAGGAAAAATAACGATAGGATCAGTTCCTTGCGAACTTGTAAACTATCAAATATCAGTAAAGATCGAATGTCGCACGGGAGCCGCGCTCCATGAAATGTCAGCGCCGATAAAAGTAGTTAACGATGCCGGCTACACCGAATCAAGTGTACAATTTCATTTTAAAAACATTCAACTAACCGGATTATATCCAACAATTGGCCCAAGATCGGGTGGAACGCAATTATCGTTGATTGGAAAGTTTCTAAATATTGGCTCGATGATGCGAGCATTTCTCGATGAATATGAATGTCATATCAATGTTACCCAGGCCTCATCTACCCAAGTTAGCTGTACAACTTCAGAGGCCACACAACCGGAACCGATACGGAGTCTTCGATTAATTATCGATGGCGCCAATCGAACTTTGGAATGTCACAATAATATTACAAATAAAAATCGATTAAATTTCGGTTCATATCCATTTCGTATACCTCCACCGCAACCTTGTTCCATCTTTAATTATACACAAGACCCTCGGATAATGCAAATTAAACCTTTACGGAGTTTTGTTAGCGGCGGACGGGCCCTGACTGTTCATGGCATATATCTAGATTCCATACAAAAACCGGAATTGGAGGTTTTCTTTGATAATGAGAAGGTAAACAAGACTGCATGTAAAGTTATTAACTCAAATCAAATGGAATGTCCATCGCCCCCGGTTAATCACAAGTTTCAAACCTTTAAACACAACAGGAACGGAATAGAATCCGACTCGAATTACAGAAACTCTTCAACCAAAACTAATAGAAGAAAGCGACATTTTAAGGACGACTTAAGCATCTATACAACATCAGGAGAAACAGGAAGCTACTTTAGCAATAGCAACAATAATAATAACAATATGGATATGACGACCTTTGTTAAGGTTCATGAAACTCAATTGAACTTACAACTAAGCTTTGTCATGGATAATGTTCAATTAGTTCGTGATTTGAACAAATATTTCCATGATATAAGGAGTACGATTGTGTATCTAGCTGATCCCAAATATTTCCCATTTCCCAACGATGAAGGTATTAAGCTATATAAAGGCGATAGTTTGGTTATTGAGGGAGAACTCTTGAATCTAGCAGCCGATGAATACGATGTAAATGTGACTATCGGTACAGCTCAATGTAATATTACCAGTTTGGCTCTAACACAATTATTATGCATTCCACCAGAGAATCAGCCCCTAGCCACAGATGAAAATGGTATTGAACAATCAATAGATCTTCCATTAGTTGTAGTCAAAGTTGGCAGTAACCTACGTTTTGTAATTGGTTATTTGAAGTACGATTTGAGTAAACCTTTTGTGTACTCGCATGCGATATTTATAGTTATGCTGACGGTGACTGTCCTCGTTATTATTCTTGTTATCGTTTTAATAATATTTCGAAGAAAATCAACGCAAGCTGAACGGGAATATAAGCGAATACAAATACAAATGATTACGTTAGAGAGCAATGTGCGTTCCGAGTGTAAGCAAGCATTTGCTGAGCTACAAACGGACATGACAGACTTAACGGCGGATTTGGAGAGTACGGGGATACCCACGCTCGATCATGTCAATTATATTATGAAAGTCTTTTTTCCCGGTGTTTCCGATCATCCCATATTGAATTCACCGAAGTTCCGAGGAGGAAATGAAAGCTCCCATCATACTAACTATGATATTGCCATGATGCAGTTCGAACAATTAATTGGAAACAAATACTTTTTACTCATCTTTATCGAAACCTTGGAATCACAGCGTTCGTCTTTTTCCATACGTGACCGGGTAAATGTGGCCTCCCTATTAATGGTCGTTTTAATGAACAAAATGGAATATGCCACAGAGATTTTAAAATCGTTATTATTACGTTTAATTGACAAATCATTGGCGGGCAAACATCCGCAACTTATGTTGCGTCGCACGGAAAGTGTCGTAGAAAAGATGTTGACTAACTATCTGGCGATATGTATGTACGATTATCTGAAGGAATATGCGGGGTCGAATTTGTTTTTACTATTTAAGGCAATCAAGCATCAAATCGAGAAGGGTCTAGTTGATGCTGTAACCAACGATGCTCGTTATTCGCTCTCAGAGGAGAGACTTCTCCACGAACAGGTTACACATTCAGTTGTTATATTACACATACTTCAAGATGATCTCGATGAGAAAGTTCAGTGTCGCGTCAACGATTGGGATACAATTTCCCAGGTTAAACTGAAGATTCTAGACGCAATTTTTAAAAACACTCCGTTTTCGATGCGACCATCGGTGCACGAAGTGGATTTGGAATGGCGACACGGACGTGGCGGTCACCTCACATTACAGGATGAGGACTTGACTACAAAAACCATTAATGGCTGGAAGAGACTGAACACTTTGGCGCATTATGGCGTCAAAGAATCGGCTGTAATGTCTTTGATAGCGAGGCAAAATGATAATTACCACATACCATACAGTAAAAACCAGCACACGGCACCATATCATAATTGTAAGTACTACTTCCCTGATTTCTACAACTTAATGATAATGAAGAATTAAAGTATTTGTTTTCCTTTTAGATTATTTTCTAAATAATTCACAAAGCCATATTATAATTAATAACGATATCGAATCGGGCTTACAACAGCCCAGACTTTACCATCTAATAAAGCCGATTGTACCAGACCATTATATGAATATTAAAAACTCTGCTATATCCGGTAATGGCGGAGGAGCTTCACAAGCCATACAATCGTCACAATGCGGTAATAATTGCAATGATCGAGTTAATAAGACGATACCGGAGGTATACTTGACACGTCTATTGGCCACAAAGGGAACGATACAAAAATTTGTCGATGATTTTTTTGCAATTATTTTAACCGTTAATGAGGAGTTACCACCAGCCGTTAAATGGCTTTTTGATTTATTAGATGAAGCGGCAAGACGTCATGATATCGCCGATACCGATATTGTTCATGCTTGGAAGTCGAATTGTTTACCCTTACGGTTTTGGGTTAATTTTATTAAGAATCCCGATTTTATTTTCGACGTGAATAAAACTTTTAGTGTGGATTCTTGCTTGAGTGTGATTGCGCAAACTTTTATGGACGCCTGTTCTACTTCAGAGCATCGACTGGGCAAGGATTCTCCTTCTAATAAGTTGCTTTTTGCAAAAGTAAGTACAACGAAAAAAAAATTAAATAAATACTATTAAAATAATTATAAACTGTAGAGTTACAAAAAACTAATAAGAAATATATATGTACATATGTATATTAAAAGTATTTAATAATACTTCGGCACACCAAAGTTTGTATACCCTTGAAGTATGTAATTGTATCTTTAAGAATATAAATTTGTATGTTTAAATACATTTTTATTTTTTAATTATTTTTAAATAACTACATTTTTTTAATATTAATTTTCTAATATATATAGTACATTCACATTCTGCAAAGTTCCATTTAGAAATCTTAGAAACTTAGGGACTTGTTTGCGTAGAAATGGACGGACAAGGCTAGATCGACTCGGCTGTGGAAGCTGATCAAGAAAATAAATACTTTTTTACTGTGATTAAAAATATTAAACATAAAGTTTGTTTTAAATTTTGTGTTTTTAAGTTTAAAATTTTTAAAATTTAAACGAAATTTCTTGTGTCAAAACTTTGGAAATGTTGAAAAAAATATTTAGTGATTCAACCATGTCGAAAACTTAAGTTCACGATTTCCTAAGTTCTCTTATAAATGCACCGATCACTCCCAAGACAGCCAATCAAATCACAAATTTGACAATATAAATTTTCATTACATTTATATATACCATATTTCACATTTAAAGTTTCCGATACATATAAACTTTATATATATAGTATATATAGCCCAATCTGACGTTTTTCCGATTTATATACTAATAGAAAGAAGACTATCTGCAAAGTTTTACTTAAATAGGAAAATACAGTTTGTATGTGTATTGCTTGTAAACTTAGTTTGTTATGTAGAACCTAATAAACCTCATACTTTTACAACGAAAACAATGTGATACTAGTTATGTAGAATCGCGCAGATGCTGATCAGAAATATAAAACTTTCTAACGCTGGACTCCTGGAATGCGTTGCAAACTTCTTGTATAAACAAAAAAAGAAGCTAACTTCGGCACTCCGAAGTTTGTATACCCTTGCAGCCTGCAATTGGATCATTAAGAATTGATCGATTCTGGTCAAATTAATATAAAAAACAAGAAAGGAAGCTAACTTCGGCACAGAGTTTCATTACATTTTACCTATACTTATTATGTTTACAGTTTGACAGTTACAGTTTTACATTCCCAGCTTTACATATTTTATACATTTACCGATCGCTTCTATGGCAGCTATATGATATAGTTGTCAGATTTTTATGAAATTTATACCAAAATTCTAGAATAATAAAAAAAAGCTTATATCTCAGAGTAGATAAACATACGTTGAAAAACAACGAAGCTATAATTTTTTTCCTATTTATATCTTCATATAGTCGTCCGATTTTCATAAAATTTTTACCGAAATTCTGAAATAATATAAAATGGCCATATCTAAAAAATGGTGCAAAAATGTTGAAAAACAGCAAATTTATAATTTTTTTTCTAAAAATATATCGAACATTTGTATGGCAGCTATATGATATAGTCGTCCGATCCGGCCCGTTCTGATATATATATAGCAGTGAGAGTATATAGAAGACTATATGCAAAGTTTCATTCAGATAGCTTTAAAACTGAGGGACTAGTTTGCGTAGAAACAGATAGACGGACAGACAGACAGACGGACGGACGGACGGACATGGCTAGATCGACTCGGCTGTTGATGCTGATCAAGAATATATATACTTTATAGGGTCGGAAACGTCTCCTTCACTGCGTTGCAAACTTCTGACTGAAATTATAATACCCTGCAAGGGTTAAAAAAAAACATATATATATTTATGGTTTATTTTATTAAGATTTGGTGCTACTGTGCATGGAGGGCATTGGGCCGTTAGGCTTACATTCCAGTAGTTATTATGATGGTTATAACAATACTTCTTTATCTGACTAAAATGAAATTCAAACCTTTTCAGGATATTCCAAACTATAGAATAATGGTCAAGGATTTTTATCGCGACGTCGCGCGACTACCACAAATAAGCGATCAAGAAATGAGCACAGCTATGCAGCAATTATCTGTGCGGCAAAACGATGAATTCGATTCAATTTCAGCTTTAAAGGAGCTGTATATTTATATAACTAAATATAAGAGCCAGGTAAAATATTTAATTGGATATCTTTATATATTTTAGCTAACTACATTATTGATTTTTTAGATAATGGACGCTCTGGAAAGCGATATTAATTGTCGCAAGATGAACTTGGCAAGAAAGTTAGAAAACGTCGCTGGCACTCTCGATGGCGAGGAAATATCTAATTGCTGACATAAAGACAAGTTTTTTGGAATTTTAAAGAAAGTTCAAATATTTTGCATTTGGATTTTGCAATTTGAAACATTCTTATTATTATATTTAAACGAACAAAAAAAAATGACTGCTTTAATGATATTTTACTTTTTATCGTGTATAAAAATATAAGCATAAGAATATACAAACCACTTTTTTATTTAATAAGTTCAGTTTGGATAATAAAAAAACGAAACCGATATACTTTTGACAAAATTATGTAATTCAACTCATAACAGAATTGACAAATTATTAGATATTACATAGACATCCATATTACATTGAAGATTTTTTTATATGCTGAAATCATTTTCTCTATTCTCTATAAATATCTATTTCAGATTTGATTCGTAAGAACAGAAAAATTGATTTGGAATATTTTTACAAGTGACATAAAAATGTGATATTTGATTAATTTGTTTAAAAACTAAGAAATAATTTTATTTTTATAAAATATCATAGAGTATCACTTAATTTTCTTAAAGATAAGCATTGAGTTTATTTCCCTTACACAGATGTAGCGCGTAACTTCCTTATATTTTACATTTTTATTAATTATTAATTCATATAATTTTATTTACCTTTATGTTAAGTAAATACACAGTCTCAAATACACAACGTATTGTACAAATTTTTTTTTTTTTTTCATTTATTCCAGAAAATAAATCTAATCATTATTAGTTATCTTTTTTGATGATATTATAACGTTATAGAACATTTTGGAGCATTCGTTTTCAACACAACCAATTTAAAAAATATTTCTTGTAACCAATCAAAATTTTAACTTAAAATATAAAGTAATCTAGGTCCATAGGAATATGAACCATATTTTACTAAACCTCTTAAACGCCAGGTAAAGTTTAGATGGCACTAAACGTTTCCGGCAAAAATATATATAAAAAAAAAAAAAAATATATATATAAAGTCAAAGTTTCTATGCAGATTGCATGCTAGAATACGAAAAACAAATATTTTATTTAAAAAATAGGTGATTTTTCTATTTAAATATAACAAATTAATTTCCTTAGCTCTACCGATTTTTTAATGCTTTAATGCCAAGCGTTAATGCTGTTTTGGTCAGACGACCCAGAGAATCAACTCAAATAGGAAAAAAAAGAACCGAGGGCTCGCCTTCAGGTCTTCTAAGAATTATAATTGAATTTAATTAATTTAATTTAATTTAAATTATTTTCTTACAAATTTGCTTTTATGTGCTACCTATTGTTTTTAAAATTTTGCAGACAATTTCGTACGCGAATAATATATAAAAAAGTAGGGTAACGACATAAGTCCGCCGTCAAAATTTAGACAGCGGACTTTTCACGTCAGAGTACTAGACTTAAATCCAAAAAAAATTTTTCATAATACAATGTTTACGCTTTTCGGCGTCATAAGATCGCCGGAAAAAACGCCATAATTTCGCGGACCAAATGTACTCGGCGAAATTGTGGCGGCGGACTTATGTCGCTATGCCAAAAAAGATGAAAGATTATGTCGAATGTTAATTCTTGTTGACGTTCCAAATTTTAATTTTTGAAAGAGATGAAGCCAGTTGTTGGTATATGCGGCGGACTTATGTCGCTATGCCAAAAAAGATGAAAGATTATGTCGAATGTTAATTCTTGTTGACGTTCCAAATTTTAATTTTTGAAAGAGATGAAGCCAGTTGTTGGTATATGCACATTGCCTTTTATAATAGAAATAATAGAATGAAATTTCTGGTATTGCTCCAACTCTTAGAGTAAAAACCCTATGGGTATGCTATTGGCCACGAGGGAATGGTTTCACCTCGATTGATACTAAATACATACATACACAAATATATTCTTATATTGTTAAAGACCGTGTATAGGCATAGCCGCTCTGGAACGCTCTTGAATCACAAGCTCGGGTGCGTTCTTCTCGTTTGGGTCACCGGTTTTTGTGGAAAGACACCACAGGAGCTGTCAAGAGAAGATAAAGCTAATCTAATTAAATTGCTATAAGAAAAGACAATATTTTCGATATTGGGCAATTATATTTATTTTTGCAAAGAAGAAGGGAGGACATGAAGGGAAATATAAATGGGAAACCGTAGGCCATTAGGGTATAAAATGAAACAGAGATCACCTTGCCGATCAAGTAAATAAATCTCTATGCACTGTGCCAGTGCACAGTTTGGCACATGCATTTCCCAGGTCGCAGTCGTGAACAATGTTGGATGCCATTGATTTCTGGTTGCTAACGAATAAAGTTACTGCCCCAATTTTGATTTTAATCTTTCCAAAAGCGGACCCCGATCCACCATTGCCGATAAGCATATTCAATCAATCGAGTTCAAAATGCAGGTGCTCCATTGGCGACTAGGATCTATCCAAGACTGAAGTTGCCGCCAGGACGCTGAGGGACAAAATTAGTCCAAAACAACAAGAAATCTTACTTCGGCACGCAAAAGTTTGTATACCCTTGCAGTTTGCAATTAGATCATTAAGAATCGATCCATTCTGGTCAAATTAATAGAAAAAAATAAAGAAAATATATAAAAAAAGATGCATATTTATACATAGCAAATAATAATTTGGTTTTGATAGAATTCAAAAAATGTTTAAACCTAAAAAAAATATAATTTAAATTGAATATTTTATATCTTACATTATAATTTTAAATGCTGAAAACGCACAAAACAAAGTTTCACTTTCAATGTACAGCTGCGTACATTTTTCTGTACATCTACCGATCGTTTCTATCATAGTCGTCTGGTTTTTATAAAATTAAAACACATATTCTGAGATAGTAGGCGATAGGTCGATAAGTTCACCGCAAAAAGTTATCGCCAAGGTTGCCATATGGTTGGTGGAACGAAACAGCCAGTTAAAAATACTTATAAAATATAAATGAATACATTAATAACTTTAAAGGACCGCCAAAATGGTTGTTTATAAATAATGCTATTTAATGTGATTACTTAAATGGTCCAAATTAACCAAATAATTATTTGAGACCACCGGAATTAAAACTGTGAAAAGTGTGGCAGCATCTTAGGTGCATAGATTTGCTTAACTCTACCATTTTTGCTTTTTTCTAGCTTAGAAAAAGGGCAATTGTAAATATAAAAGGCAGTACTTTACGTTGTTTGCTTATTACCAAAAACACAAGTTAGCTGTTTGAGCAGTGGGAAACGATGAGAAAACGAAACATTCCGATAGCAGAAATTTGCCGAAAACCGGAGCAGCTAAAAACGAAAACGGTTCGTTTTCGCCCAAAACGAAATCGAAAAAATTTTACGATTACCGGAGCAGGCCTGAATATTAAATTTCGATTTTAATCGATTTATTTGGCTTAACATTACTGTAACCCGTGTTTTGTTTTCGTCAAATTTGGCTTTTTTGAAGGTGATTGCGGGGAAAGTTTAAAAACCGCGGGCAGCGGGAAACTATAGTTATTAATATTTATCATATATTTGTAATTTAATTTTTCTTTAAATTTTTTAATGCTTGATCTTGTTTTCATTCATTTCTATGCAAAAAAACAAAAAAAAAAAAATAAAAAATGGGAAGGGCTAAAGGCCCGTACGGAGCAGAGCTATTATTTCGATTACCTATTTAGCAAGTCGGTATGGATACCGATACCGATAAAATCAATACTCAAAAATACTATAATGAACACAGGCGTTTGATATTTGTTTGCGGACAAATTTTCGAATCGAATAAATTTGTTTTTAAGAAGAATGGTGGCTGGCACCGGAAAAACCTTATTTACATTAGAGGAGCGGCCATCTACATGATATCCCACTGGAGGTCATCTCGATTTTTGGTCTTTGGGTTTCCTTATTCTTTTTCAATTCTTTTTGTCGTTTGCCATAAAAAATAACTGACTGCAATAAAGATTCTCAGTCCAAACAGGTTGTAGAGATGTCAAACTACCGGTGGTACTATCGATAGTACCGATGGTTTGGATTCAGCTTCCACTATCGGTAGTTTGAAAACAATCGCGGTAGTATCGCCTCTATATTATTTTTTTTTTTTTTTGTTCCAGCGACGTCAACCGAGTCGGAAAGAATGTTTTCGAAGGCAGGAGAAATAATTTCCGATCGTAGATCCAATTTGAAACCAAAAATAGTTGATAAACTGTTGTTTAAAAACAAAAATTGGTGGATATCTGACTGTTAAACGTTAACTCTGATCTCATACAATGTTTTTGAATAGTGGCAGGACCGCTTTAATATTATTTCATTTTTAAGATATAAAATATGAATCTTTTGTTATTTTTTTATTTTTGTTATTATTAAGCTTGAAACCAAACAATGAAATACGGGAAGAAAAATATATATATCACAAGAAATTAAAACTGTCCGACTATTTTTATATATTTTAAGACTTTTACTATATTATATCTTTACTCTTAAAAATCTCTTTCAAATTAATAAGGTATACCCTCAACTTTTTTGAATTTTTTATTAGTGGAATATCCCCTTTTTTAAGAAATTTTTTAATGTCGGTACTATCGCGATAGTATCGATAGTTTGCAAAAAAAAACTCGAAACTACCGATGGTGCGAATACCGGTAGTTTGACATCTCTAACAGGTTGCAATAACTAAATGTATTGAACTAACGACCAGGAGAAGGTGCCATCTCTAATAATTTTTTGGTGTGGCCAAAAGATTTTTTCTGACCTTTTTCAGTTTTAAAAATACGTTAGTTTTAAAAAATGTTTTTACTTTGTTTTCTTGAACTGTTTAAATTTCAAGTAAAATATAAAAGCTTGGGTGTTTGGATTTTTAATTGTATGGTAAGACAGTAATATTTTGTAAAATTTCATACTTTGTAGATCGATTTGAATTATTTGTTGTTTGTAAAAAATTCGGAAGATTTAATAATTAAGAATTAATGATATTATTTATTTTTTAGAGTTTTAGTACAATGACAATATCGACAGACTTTGAATGTACTATCAAAAATGATCAGTTTACGTATATATGCATATAAATGCGATCCACAATTATACCTGCAGGTCCCCTCTTCCGCAGCTGTGGAATTTGTCACAGCCAAGGCACAACCTTTTTTGATATCCTGGGGTGAGGGCAGTGCTTCCTCCAACAACAACTTCTTTCTTGTGAAACAAAAACAATGTTCTAAAAACGATCTCAGCAGGATTGAATCTCTGGAATCGCTTGCTGTGCGCGCTTCTTCTGCCTTCTTATTATTATATCAGCGTCTCTGCCCTTTTGTAATATTTAACGTCTTACTCAGTTCGTCTCTTCGCTCTGCCCCGAAATGAGCAGTGGCAAATATACATACATATGTATATACATGTATACATACATATGTATGTATGTATTTTTGTCCCAAACATGCATATGTGAAGCGTACATATGTATGTATGTATCTGTGTATCTTTTGCATGTATGTATTTCATGTGCATCACATGGAATTCGTTTTATTTTTTATAAAAAAAAACTTTTTTCGGTTCTTGGAAAATAACAAACCCATATATTCTTTAAATGTATATGTGCATGATGTATTTTCATATATGTACATATATATGCATGTACATACATACATTAAAAGACACAATTTTGATATTTTTCTTTTACGTATTTATGTACATATATGATATATAAATATAACATTTTATCAAAAAATGTAAGCTTTTAAATTATATTTACATAAATATACGTTTATGTACATTTATAATGTATAAAACAATAAAAAAGCTCAGATACATACATCTGCCTGTATGTACATATGTATATACATTTATATTAATGTATTTTCCCTTCTTCTTTGCACCGATTTTCCTCTTTAGTGGCTGCTGAGGCCCAATGACTTTATTTTCTTCTCTCCTTTTTACAAATTTTAAAGGCTTAATTAGTCAGCGCGGATCGATCCTAAAAGAGAAGGAAATAAAAAGGCAACACTCATTTTTGTTTTTTTTACACATACATAGGAAAGTTATATTAGTATAGGCATTTATCTGTACACTCTTCTCACACACATTCATACAGCCGCGTTTAAAATCCAGTTTCTTTCTCCATTAAGCGACAGCACAGAGGCAGGGCACCAGGCACAGATTGAAGCATCATCATTATCAAGAAATTGAGCCGAGAGTTGGCCTTTGGAATTATGTTGTCCGCCGTCGAGGCAGTAAAAAAAGGAAAAAAGACAGACGAAAAGCAGCAATAAAAAACTAAAGGGAACTTTTGTCAGATATGTATATACATACAAACATACACTCACATGAAGATACATTAAGAAGATACATAAGGTTGCCTAAGTAGGGATTTTAATTATATAAAAAGGAAGTATTGCAACAAATGTATAAATTCAAAAGCAATAGTATATCTTCAAGATATAAAAAAATAAAATAAGTCGACACAAATATCTGGTCTGAAAGCAGCATAAGCGAGAAGCAGAAATATGAAATATATTATTATTTTCCCTCATGTATTATTAATATATTATTAATTTCCCTAGTTGGTTAACATATAACTGCATTACAAAATTTATTGCTAATTTACTACTTTAACTAGCTGATTTATACCCTTGCAGGGTATTATAATTTCGGTCAGAAGTTTGCAACGCAGTGAAGGAGACCTTTCCGACCCTAAACAGTATTCATATATATTCTTGATCAGCATCAACAGCCGATAGTGTCGGATTAGCCATATCCATCTGTCTGTTTCTACGCAAACTCGTCCCTCAGTTTTAAAGCTATCTAAATGAAGCTTTGCATATAGTCTTCTGAATACTCCCACTGATATATATATCGAAACGGGCCGGATCGGACGACTATTACATATACATATGTAGCTCATATACAAATGATCGAAAAAATTTTAGGAAATAAAATTATAACTAGGCCGTTTTTCAACATATTTTTATTATTTTTGAGATACGGCCATTTTGTATTATTTCAGAATTTCGGTTTTAATTTTATGAAAATCGGATGATTATATCTTATAGCTGAAAAAATTATAATTCCATCGTTTTTCAACGTATTTTCATCTACTCTGAGATATGAGAATTTTTTTTTCAGAATTTTGGTATAAATTTTATGAAAATCGGACAACTAGCTGCCATAGAAACGATCGGTAGATGTAGAGAAAATGTAAAGCTGGGAATGTAAAACTGTAACTGTAAAACTGTAAACATAATAAGTAAGGAAACTATGTTTTGTGTGTGTTTTCAGCATTTAAATTTATAATATAAATATCAAAGCCAAATTATTATATACTATGTATAAATATACAACTTTTTTTTATTTCCTTTTATTTTTATTCCCTTGCAGGGTATTATAATTTCAGTCAGAAGTTTGCAACGCAGTGAAGGAGACCTTTCTCACCGTATAAAGTGTATATATTCTTGATCAGCATCAACAGCCGAGTCGATCTAGCCATGTCCGTCTGTCCGTTTCTACGCAAACTAGTCCCTCAGTATTCAAACTATCTGAAGGAAATTTTGCATATAGTCTTCTATATACTCTCACTGCTATATATGTCGGAACGGAACGGATCAGACGACTATATCATATAGCTGCCATACAAATGTTCGATAAATTTTTAGAAAAACATTTATAAATTAGCTGTTTTTCAACATTTTTGCATCATTTTTGGGATATGGCCATTTTGTATTATTTCAGAATTTCGGTTTTAATTTTTTGAAAATCGGACGACTATATCATATAGCTGCCGTAGGACCTATCGGGAAAATAATAGGAAAAAAACTATAACTTCGTTGGTTTTCAACGTATTTTTATCTACTCCAGGATATAAGCTTATTTTATTATTCTAGAATTTTGGAATAATTTCATAAAAATCGGACAACTATATCATATAGCTGCCATAGAAACGATCGGCAGATGTAGAGAAAATGTAAAGCTGGGAATGTAAAACTGTAATTGTCAAACTGTAAACATAATAAGTATAGGTAAAATGTTATGAAATAATATCTGCAAGGGTATACAAACTTCGGCGTGCCGAAGTTAGCTTTCTATCTTGTTTTTCTAATTATTTAACCAGAATGGCTCGATTCTTAATGATCCAATTCAATCATGCTGTTTTTGTTTTGAAGTATTTGATTCTAAACTCACTGGTATGAATTATTCTTTGTTCGCGACCATAAGTGCTGACTTTGCTTTTAGTTCTTATTTATTACATATTCGTTTTTTCTTACATTTTTGTCTGAAGATTTTTTTATCAACAATAAATAATAATAATAAAAAACAAGAAAGGAAGCTAACTTCGGTACGCCGAAGTTTGTATACCCTTGCAGATATTATTTCAATTTACCTATACTTATTATGTTTAGAGTTTGACAGTTACAGTTTTACATTCCCAGTTTTACATTTTCTCTACATCAACTGATCGTTTCTATGGCAGCTATATAATATAGTTGTCAGATTTTCATAAAATTTAAAACGAAATTCTGAAATAATAAAATAAGCTTATATCTCAGGGTAGATGAAACTATGTTGAAAAACAACGAAGTTATCATTTTCTATTAATTTCCCTATCGTTCCAATGGCAGCTATAAGATATTGTCGTTCAATTTTTACAAAATTAAAACCGAAAATCTGAAATAATATAATTTAGCCATATCTTAAAAATGATGCAAAAATGTGGAAAACAGCCAAGTTATAATTTTTTTTCTAAAAATTTATCGAACATTTGTATGGCAGCTATATGATAAAGTCGTCTGATCCGGCCCGGCCCGCCATATATATCAGTGAGACGGACGGACGGACAGACGGACATGGCTAGATCGACTTGGCTGTTGATTCTGATCAAGAATATATATACCTTATAGGGTCGAAAATGTATCCTTTACTGCGTTGAAAACTTCTGACTGAAATTATAATATCATGCAAGGGTAGAAAAGTTCTACCGTTCGCGATGTACCGTTACAAATGAATGAAATTGTAAATGAAGTGTGGTTACTATTAAATATAATTAATGAAAAACTACATTATTTTAATGTGGTTTAAGAGTTTTTGTTTCTTTTCTTCTTTCTTTGCAAACTTCGCAGACTTCAGCCATTTCCAAAGTGAAGTCAAACAAGACTTTTGTTTTAGTACAGTGTCAGCTGTAAAAAAAACAAATCAGCAATACTTTCTTTTTATAATGCAAATAGTAGTTTTATAATGCAAAATAATAAAATTCACTAATCGTAAAAAAAAAACGTTTGAAAAATTATAGTTTTAGTCATATTTTCTTTTTTATATGTATATATTTAATATTTAATTCCCGTTCGTATTTTCTTCATTTAATAATCAAATTGCAAACTACACGAGGTTTACAAACTTCTTTTTCTAAAAGGACTATGCATTTATTTATCCTGATAATTTTATTATTATGTTTAAGCCGTAGTTATAACGTTTTTACAGACATAAACTGCATAGATTCTTTGCAATGTGTTGGAAATATTTATAATTAACTGTACTGAACTGAAATGTACTATGTATTATCAATAAAGTTCTGGACCAAGCCCGATTCGGTGCCCAAAATACATTGTGGCTAAGAAAATCAGCTTTCCGAACTCTTATTTTAAGAAATTAAGTTTGAGAGGTAAAGTTCAAGAATTATTATGTATTTTATCCCACTAAATACAGCAGCAATTTTCGATTTTTGTATAGTCTTTTTGAGGTTGTTTTAACAAATGTACCCTAATTTGTAATTTTACGTACCGTACGAGATCGTCTCGTTTAACAGTATCTGTTTTTTTTAACTGATACAGAATTATGCTGCACGTATGTATAGTGCTTGTAGTTGTTCTTTAATTAAAACTTCCAACTTTATGTATACCACAATTTAATGTTATTTTATATAAAATGTGTATACATATATCAAATATACATTTAAATTCGCGGTATTCAAGTTTAAATAATTGTATTCCTGTAATATAAATAAACCTAGATTGAATGTAATATAGGTAAAGTGTTAACTTTTGTCAAGAAGTTTATATTACATATAAGGGTATTGTATGTTTAAGTCACGATGTGTACCTCTTTATCCACCTGGTAGTTTTTAAAGATACTTTGACCAATAATTTTAATTAGGATTAATACTTTTATTTATTTATACATTTATTTTAATGTTGTGTTTTTTATATAAACTACTAAAAATAAATATTTTGCAGTTATAAATTATATATTAAGTCCGGTCTGTTTTGAAAATTGTAGTGTCAAGCTGCCAAACTAAGTCATAGACTGTGTACATATGTATGTATCCATAATTTGTACACCCAAGCCACAAGGCAATACACACACGATACACCATTACAACATGAATACAAATATATATCTGTTCCTCAGAGAGAGTAATAGCAAAAAATGTAGTAAGAGAAAAAAGGACTGGAGGTGCGGCTAATAGTATTTACGTACGTTGTCTGCATAGGAAAACAGAAATTATTTCGGCTGATATGGCTGATATGCCATCAAGCCCAAAAAATCTACCTGCCTCTATCTATAGAAAATTATTCTAAGCAGTCACATCTGAAGGTATATAGCCAAGCCAAGGAGGCATCACTGGCAATTCAAAAAAGTATCTCGTGGATGCGTGTGTACGTGTGTGCTGTGTATATTGTGTGGCCATCTTCGATCCGCCCGCCTTCGTTCGCTTATGATCTGTGTAGCGCAAACACAAATACACGGCGTTGCACTTGTTTATGTATTTCTCCGTTATATCTGTCTGTGTGCTTACCGTATCTATGTTGGCATCTGTGACAGTATCTGTGTTATATGGCGCAGGTATTTGTGAGAAACGATCTCCGAACTGCTTCATTTAAACTAAGCGAAGCATTGTAAGAGCCTAGCTGTTAATATAGCTCAGTCCTCCTCTCGAAAGAAACACAGCAACAAGACGGCAGCAAAAATAAATAATTTAGTTTTACTACAATTTATTAAATCATAACGAAATCAAAATATGCTTATACATGATTTAGTGAAAGTTAAATAAAAAAAAGTGCGGGTGATTCTCAAAAATCATGTGAAAAATGATAATCACATTACATACTTAATGAATGTTTGTGAAAAGTTAATAATAATTATAAGGTTGGAAATTTTCAACAAAATTGTATTATTTAATGCAAATGCTAATGCAAACGGGTTTTAGTTAGTGAATGTGCTATTATCTAATTTAATTTAACGGTTTTTCAAACGCTTTAACTCCGACGGCAAACCCATATATATAAATATACATATATACATATGTATGTATATTTTTAAATTATAATAATTCTAGGCTTTAATAGCTGAAATAGAATGGACGCCTACGCTTTGCCCACCTACTTTCCACTTGCGTAAGTATCGTTTCATATTTTTTTAATATGAAGCTAAACAAAAAATAAATTTTTTACATTGTCTTTTGCATTTACCGATTTTTGCCATGTCGGCTAGCCTTAGTTTTATAAAATTTAAAAACATTATTTTAATATCGCAACTAATACAAAATCTATAAAAATTATATATAAGGTTAAATGCGAATGTATTGTAAAACAAACGAAACAAAAAAGTCAGCCTCTACATTTTCAACCAAAACATAGTCGTAGGACATTGATATACCTTTTGTATTATCCAAAATAATCTACATTACTTTAAACTAATGGATCTTTCATTTAGCAGACCAAAACGTTGATTTATACGAACTCTTTATCCACACTGGCTTTTCAGTCATTCAATAGATATATTCAGCGACATCGGAGTCAGTATCGCGATAGTTAACAAGCAGTTTGTATTGGAAGAGCTGTTTTTAGTTAAAAACAAGAAAGAAAGCTGACTTCGGCACGCCGAAGTTTGTATACCCATGAAGTTTTCAATTAGATCAAAATTATAAGCCAGGCTTACAGTTGCAGTTTACCTATCTATGTCATAGGAACACACATTTAAGATTTAGCCGTCCGAAAGCCAAATATCTCAAAACCAGCAAAGTAATAATTTTTTATTTAACTGTCGATAGTTTCTATATGATATAGTCGTCCGGCTCATTCTGACTTATGTACGAGTGAGAATAGTCAAAACACTATCTGCAAAGTTTCTTTCATATAAATTTAAAACTGAAAAATTAGTTTGCGTAGAAACGGACAGACGAACGGACGGATATACTGACATGGCTCGATCGATTCGGCTGTTGATGTTGATCAAGAATATATAAGGATATACCTTTGTAGGGTCGGAAATAACTCCTTCATTTCCGAATACAATTATAATACCCTTCAAGGTTCTTAATGAAACCTTGTACATAGTCTTCTGACTAATCTTCTGACGAATCATCATATAGCTGCCATTGAAACGAACGGAACAATTGCAGAAACAGTTTTAACTTCGCTGTTTTTATACCCTTGCAGGGTATTATAATTTCAGTTAGAAGTTTTCAACGCAGTGAAAGAGACATTTCCGATCATATAAAGTACATATGTATATATCTTCTTGATCAGCGTCAACACCCGAGTCGATCTAGCCATGTCCGTCTATACGTTTCTGAGCAAACTAGTCCCTTGGTTTTCAAGCTATCTGAATGAAAATTTGCATATAGTCTTCTATATTCTCTCGCTGCTATATATATCAGAACGGGCCGGATCGGATGACTTTATCATATAGCTGCCATACAAATAAAAAATAAATAAATTATACCTTGACTGTTTTTCAATATATTTTGATCATTTTTGAGATATGTCAATTTTTATTATTTCAGAATTTCGGTTTTAATTTTATGAAAATCGGACGACTATATCTTATAGCTGTCATAGGAACAAATTTCGGAAATTGGTATTCTGGATTTTAATGGCTGACCTAAAAAAATCTATGTTATTATAAATAAATTAAATTTAGTCAGAAGTTTGCAACGCAATGAAGTAGACATTTCAGACCCTATGAAATATAAATATATATTCCGGATCAGCATTAACAGCAGAGTCGAGTTTTACATTGATCATACCAAACACGATAACTCAAAATCTACTGGATGAATCGGTTTGAAATTTAAGTAATACCTAATTATTTTTTATTGTTATAATTTTAGTCAAAAGTTTGCAACGCAGTGAAGGAGACATTTCCGACCCTATAAAGTATATACATATATTCTTGATCAGCATCAACAGCCGAGTCTATCTAGCCATGTCCTATCTGAATGAGACTTTGCATATAGTCTTCTATATACTCTCACTGCTATATATGTCGGAACGGGCCGGATCGGATGACTATATCATATAGCTGCCATACAAATGATCGAAAAATTTTTAGAAAATAAATTATACCTTGTCTGTTTTACAATATATTTTGATCATTTTTGAGATATGGCAATTTTTTATTATTTCAGAATTTCTGTTTTACTTTTCTGAAAATCGGACGACTATATCTTATAGCTGTTATAGGAACGATCGGGAAATTAAGAGAAAAATTATAACTTCGTTGTTTATCAAGGTTTTTTCATCTACTCTGAGATATTAGCATTTTTTTTTTTAGAATTTTTGTATAAATTTTATGAAAACCGGACAACTATATCAAATAGCTCCCATAGAAACGATCGGTAGATGTAGAGAAAATGTAAAGCTGGGAATGTAAAACTGTAATTGTCAAACTGTAAACATAATAAATATAGGTTTGTTTTTCAGAATTTAAATTTATAATGTTTATTATAATAAATAGCGGATTTTCGTCGTCTCAGTACTAGGCTTTAGCCGAAAATTTAACCAGTTGAATATATAGGCTTGCTATCTCCGATATTTTCATTAATTCAGTCCTTCAGTCCTTCAGTCATACATACCCAGAATAAAATAAAATATTTATAATATTTCCCATACAAACTGCTCATACGATATCGTTAGTCATTTAGAGAGGCTCTGAGGTTGCTGGGAATATCGACTGAATGACTGAAAAATCAGTAGTTAAAATTAAAGTTTTTTATTGCTAACATAAAGATAAAAAATTAAAAAAAAAATTAAGACTAAAAGAACACAAAATGTATATCGTTGTCTTGCGACTAATATTTTGTTTGAAAATTTAGTGGCATTGTTTTTTTTTTTTTTTTAGTCGTTCCAATTATTGGCTACTATTACAATATTTCGTCGATATTTACTGAATTACAGTAGTCAAGGGAATAACCGGAATGTGTTTTTTTTTGTAATTTAACCGATATTTTCCGCGATCGTTAAAGCCTGCTACTAACTTAAGATACAATTTCTAAAGGCAGCAAAAGTGCATATGAAAAAACGAACGAGAAGAAAAAGAAGAACTTTCTGACTTTTCGATTAGCCTTTTCGATCGCAACATTTATTTTATGTTAGTACCAACGAAAGCGAAAAGTCTGAAAGTTCTTCTTTATTCTCTCTTCGCTCGGTTTTTATACCCTTGCAGGGTATTATAATTTCAGTCAGAAGTTTGCAACGCAGTGAAGGAGACGTTTCCGACCCTATAAAGTATATATATTCTTGATCAGCATCAACAGCCGAGTCGATCTAGCCATGTCCGTCTGTCCGTCTGTCCGTCTGTCCGTCCGTCTGTCCGTCCGTCTGTCCGTTTCTACGCAAACTAGTCTCTCAATTTTAAAGCTATCTGAATGAAACTTTGCATGTAGTCTTCTATATACTCTCACTGCTATATATGTCGGAACGGGCCGGATCGGACGACTATATCATATAGCTGCCATACAAATGTTCGATAAATTTTTAGAAAAAAAAATTTTAACTTGGCTGTTTTTCAATATTATTCCATCATTTTTGAGATATAGCCTTTTTATATTTTGGTAAATATTGGTAAATTTTGGTAAAAATTTTATGAAAATCGGACCACTATATCTTATAGCTGCCATAGGAACGATCGGGAAATTAATCAAAAAAATTATAACTTCGTTGTTTTTCAACGTATTTTAATCTAATTTGAAACATGAGCTTCTGGTATTATTTCAAAATTTTGGTAAAAATTTTATGAAAATCGGACGACTATATCTTATAGCTGCCATAGGAACGATAGGGAAAGTAATAGAAAAAATTATAACTTCGTTGTTTTTCAACGTATTTTCATCTACTCTGAGATATGAGCTTTACTTATTATTATAGAATTTTGGTATACATTTTATGAAAGTCGGACAACTATATCATATAGCAGCCATAGAAGCGATCCGCAGATGTAGAGAAAATGTAAAGCTGGGAATGTATAACTGTAACTGTCAAACTGTAAACATAATAAGTATAGGTAAAATGGTATGTAACTCAGTTTAGTGTCTGTTTTCGGCATTATAATTTATGACATAAATATTAAAACCAATCTGCAAGGGTATACAAACTTCGGCGTGCCGAAATTAGCTTCCTTTCTTGTTATTATATGGAGTTTTGCTGCTTTCAGATCATTTATTGATCATTTATTTTAGTACCGGCCTTTAAGGTAAATCCGCTGGTTGAAAATGTAGAGGCCGACTTTTATGTTTCGTTCCCATGATGGGTGAAAATATCGGCTTACTATCGCTATACAACGCCGATATTTTGAATAGTTCAGTCGTCAAGAGAACGCCCAGTGTATAATTGGAATTCAACCATACACTGCAGATAACCCAAATTTAATCAAATGCAATCTTTTATATAAAATACATTATTTTATAGGTATACCGAATTGCAATTTTTAGCGTCGCGAAGAGCTGCAGCCGTTGCCGCTGCGGCCTTACCGTCGGGTTCAGGTTCAGGTTCCCCAGGTTGCATTTCCCATGTACATACAACAGACGTTTCCAGCTCGGTAGCGATGCCACCATCCATGATGCCAGCAACTCCTGAAGCATCAGAAGCAACAATTAAGACTCCTGCAACATCGATTATTCCACCGATTTCAAGTGGAAACACTTTACATCATCCGCAGCATCATCATCATCCGCAGCATCATCAGCATGTCCATGGACAGTCGCAACATGCGCATGAATTTCATCCAGCTTATAGAATTCCTGGATATATGGAGCAGCTTTATTCGCTACAGCGTAGCAGTTCAACAGCATCATTTCATGGTATTATACATTAAAAATTATGGGGAGGGGGTTTTATTTATTTTTTCCTTTTTTTTTTATTCAGGGTATTTTCTTGACGACTGAATTACTGAAAATATCTGCAACACAAAACAGCTGTTTCCAGCTATTGCGTATATTTTAAGTAATTCAGTCATCAGTAGTCGTCAAGGGAATACCCAAATTGAAAATAAAATTAGTCTTTTCTTTACCATTTCTAAAATAAATTCTTTCCTATTCTTATTTTAATGTCTAACTTTTTACCTTTTAAATTAATACAGATCCGTATGTTAACTGTGCCGCATCGGCCTTCCATCTGGCCGGTCTGGGCTTAGGTTCAGGTGATTTTTTGGCCACATGTGGCATGGGCTCCTTGGGTGATCTGCATCATGCTGCTGTGGCAGCTGCCGCTGCGGCTGGATCGTTGGCCAGCACCGATTTTCCATTTAGTATCGATAATGGTAATAACAGACGACCCCCACCGCCGCCTGGTGGTAGTATTAGGGCAAGTATTAGTCGCAAGCGAGCGCTATCTTCATCGCCATATTCGGATTCATTTGACATTAATTCAATGATTCGATTCTCGCCAAATTCTCTGGCCACACTAATGAATGGTTCTCGAGGGAGCAGCAGTGCTGCCAGTGGCTCCTACGGTCACATACCCATGACCCATGCCGCACACGCAACACTGGCGCCGCGTTTACAGCAGATACAAGCACACTTGTTGCGCGCCAGTGCTGGACTATTGAATCCCATGACTTCGGCGGAACAGGCAGCAGCTGCAGTAGGATTTGCCGTGAACCAAGGAAATCACTTAACCGAAATGGTTTCTCGAAATATCAGCGACTTACCCTTACAGTTACCGAATCAAATACCAACATCTTCAACTACTCCGAATATTAAAGTTTATGAGGAACACAAGGTGAAGTACCAAAGCCTAATATTACTCATATTTTTATATATTCATATATCAATCACAACTAAAATGAAAATTTTAATTAATTATTCCAGTTATTGAAAAAAGGACACGATCGTCAAGTTAAAAATAAGGCACCAGCTGAACAGCCTTCATCAACATCTGGTGGTGGCCTTACTCAAGTAGCCCAAGCAGAAGCCGATAGTGCCTCATCGAATATATCAGAACGTTATGAATACAGAAAAGATAGTATTGCTAAATGTACGCCCAATTCTGATCTAAAATTAAGCCATCACAACAGTGAAGAATTATTAAATGAATATGATTGTGCCAATGCTGATACAACGGATATTAAAGACGAACCTGGTGATTTTATTGAAACCAATTGCCATTGGCGTAGCTGTTGCATTGAGTTCAACACTCAAGATGAACTTGTTAAGCACATAAATAACGATCATATTCAGACTAATAAAAAGGCCTTTGTCTGCCGATGGGAGAATTGTACACGTGGTGAAAAGCCATTCAAAGCGCAGTATATGCTAGTCGTACATATGCGTCGTCATACAGGTGAAAAGCCGCACAAATGCACAGTAAGATACCGTGTTGTTATTATTTTATTTGTTCGCCTATAATGCTCGCTTGGGCTTATGGATTACTGTTATTTTGTTATTTTTACCAATATCTTCTTTCACGCTAAATTTAATTAATATAAATAGTGATACCTTACCTTTGACTTTTCTTTTTAGTTTGAGGGCTGCTATAAGGCATACTCTCGATTGGAAAACTTAAAAACCCATTTACGCTCGCATACGGGCGAGAAGCCATATACCTGTGAGTATCCGGGATGTAGCAAGGCGTTTAGTAATGCCAGTGATCGCGCGAAGCACCAAAATCGTACGCATAGCAACGAGGTATGTAAGCTAATTTTTGAAAATACATTCTTAATATTTAAGCCTAGTACTAACATAAGATAAATTCGCTTTAAGAATGTTGAAAGCAAAATGGCTATATATTTTGTTCCAAAACAGGTGTGTCAAAAAAAACAAGAAAGGAAGCTAACTTCGGTACGCCGAAGTTTGTATACCCTTGCAGATATTATTTCATAACATTTTACCTATATTATTATGTTTACAGTTTGAGAGTTACAGTTTTGCATTCCCAGCTTTACATTTTCTCTACATCTATCGATCGCTTCTATGGCAGCTATATGATATAGTTGTCCGATTTTTATGAAATTTATACCAAAATTCTAGAATAAGAAAAAAAAGCTTATATTCCAAAGTAGATAAAAATACGTTGAAAAACAACGAAGCAATAATTTTTTTCCTAATAATTTCCCGATCGTTCCTATGGCAGCTATATCATATAGTCGTCCGATTTTCATAAAATTTTTACCAAAATTCAGAAATAATATAAAATGACTATATCTAAAAAATGGTGCAAAAATGTTGAAAAACAGCAAAGTTATCATTTTTTTTCTAAAAATTTATTGAACATTTGTATGGCAGCTATATGATATAGTCGTCCGATCCGGCCCGTTCCGACATATATAGCAGTGAGAGTATATAGAAGACTATATGCAAAATTTCATTCAGATAGCTTTAAAACTGAGGGACTAGTTTGCGTAGAAACGGACAGACGGACAGACGGACGGACAGACGGACATGGCTAGATCAACTCGGCTGTTGATGCTGATCAAGAATATATATACTTTATAGGGTCGGAAACGTCTCCTTCACTGCGTTGCAAACTTCTGACTGAAATTATAATACCCTGCAAGGGTATAAAAAAAAAACTGTTTTTTTTAAGGGATGAAACGGGTGACACAGATATTTGTATTTCCAGCTGTTTTTTTAAGCCTAGTACTCTGACGACGAAAATCCGCCGTAACACGTATTACAGCGGCCAAACTCCATATAAAAAAACGGTGTGAAAAAAGGAAGAAAAAGAAATTTGTGCCTCGTCGATTTTGCCGGTACTCTGACGACGAAAATGATGCCTGCGAAAATTGAATGGCGTTGCCAGATCAAGACAGTAAACAGCTGATCTCGGGGTGTAACAATAATTCATTGATAGGGGTTGTCAAGGGGAAGCCCATAATATGGAATTTAACCCACAAAGGACATTTTAATGCCATATTTATTAATATTTTAAATATTTTTTTTGAATAATTGTTTACAAACAGCTGTCCAGTGTGACCAAAGAAAAGCCTTAAACGCCATAAAAGGTAAATTTTCTTGGCGTTTCATGGCTTTTCCTTAATTTTTTTGGTCACACTGGTTACCGAGCCAAATAAACACCGATACCGCTATAACAAGTGTTACAGCGGATTTTCGTCGTTAGAGTACTAGGCTTAATACACAAATAGGGTATTACCTTGACGACTGAATGACTGAAAATATCGGCAACTAAAATTGGCTGTTTCCATACAAACTTCTTATACTATTATGATACTGGCGAATTAATTAGAGATTTCATTAAAGACATGACAGTGCTGTATCATTTTACACATGTGCGAGCATGATGACTATATGACACTTTTAATAAAAACAAGAAAGGAAGCTAACTTCTGCACCCCGAAGTTTGTATACCCTTGCAGATTGGTTTCGATGTTTATATTATAGATTTAAATGGTGAAAACACTCACAAAACAGAGTTTCATTACATTTCACCTATACTTATTATATGTACAGTTTGGCAGTTACAGTTTTACATTCCCAGTTTTACATTTTCTCTACATCTACCGATCGGTTTATATGGCAGCTATATGATATAGTTGTCAGATTTTTATGAAATTTATACCATAATTCTAGAATAATAAAAAAAGCTTATATCTCAGAGTAGATAAATATACGTTGAAAAACAACGAAACTATAATTTTTTTCCTATGGCAGCTATATCATATAGTCGTCCGATTTTCAAAAAATTTTGATCGAAATTCTGAAATAATATAAAATGGCCATATCTAAAAAATGGTGCAAAAATGTTGAAAAACAGCAAAGTTATAATTTTTTGTCTACAAATATATCGAACATTTGTATGGCAGCTATATGATATAGTCGTCCGATCCGGTCCGTTCCGACATATATAGCAGTGAGAGCATATAGAAGACTATATGCAAAGTTGCATTCAGATAGCTTTTAAACTGAGGGACTAGTTTGCGTAGAAACAGACAGACAGACAGACGGACAGACGGACATGGCTAGATCGACTCGGCTGTTGATGCTGATCAAGAATATATATACTTTATAGGGTCGGAAACGTCTCCTTCACTGCGTTGCAAACTTCTGACTGAAATTATAATACCCTGCAAGGGTATAAAAATATACTGAGAGAACGAAAATCCGCTGTCACAATTGTGATAGCACAATAGCTATATATTTTGCTCGGTAACCAGTGTGAACAAAGAAATTAAGGAAGACATGAAAAGGGTCATTTTCATGGCTTTTTATGGATTTTCCTGGTTGCCAATCGGTTACCGAGCAAAATATATAGTGATTTTGCTATTACAATTGTGACAGCGGATTTTCGACACAGTGGAAACAAATTTGACATTAAAATGCCCCTTGTGGGCTAAATCCCATATTATGGAATTATGGGATTATATTATGACCGCATTATCAATGCAACTTTCTCCTCGAGGGCAGAACATTTCGGTCCTACAATTATTTTTTCTTCAACTTTCTCTTAACCCTGTAAGAATAATTGATATGAATTATTGTGATAGCACAATATAAGCTGTTTACTTTATTGATCTGGCAGCGCCTTTCAATTTTCGTTAAGTCAGTGCCCGTAAAAACGACGAGGGAAAAGGTTCTTCTTTTTCCTTTTTATGGAGTTTAGCCGCTGTCACAATTGTGACATCGTCCTCTCAGTATTAGGTTTTAGGTCAGAAAAGTGTCTAGTAAAGTGTTCCACACGAGCAATGTTTTAAATCTTTTATTTCCCTTCTTCACAATGAGTTTAAAAATATATCAATTCATTTCTTTGGCTCCTAAAACAGCTGTTTATGTTTTTGATCCGACAACGCCTTACAAGTTCCGGCCGTAACATTTATGTTATCTTATAATAGTACCCCCGAGCGAAAAAAAAGAAAGTAAGTCTTTCTTCTTGTGTTTTGCTGCGTTTTTTTTATAAGAACTTGTACCGTTTTAAAATTAAGAGCAGATTCATTACGCTAGTACTACTCTTTAACAAGGACTTTTATGTACATATATAAAAAAAAATTGGGTATTTCCTATACCATCCAATAGCAATACAAAACGTTACTCCGTCACACTATTCTTAGAGTCTTAAGCCGAATGATTTTGGGTATTCCGTTGACGACTGAATGACGGGATTACTGAAAATATTGGCGATGTATAGCGAGAGTTTGCCGTTATTTTTAATCATTAAGTCAAATAGGGAGTACCCTAAAATATTAAATTCATATTTTCAATTGGAATCATACCTTTTTCCAGCTTTACAACGTTACCAGATCGAACAAAAGCAACAACAAGAGATGGTAGAAACATGTACTATGTTTTTTTTCTGATGTAAACTGATATTTAACAAGAAAGGAATCTAACTTCGGCACGCCGAAGTTTGTATACCCTTGAAGATATTATTTCATTACATTTTACCTATATTATTATGTTTACAGTTTGACAGTTACAGTTTTGCATTCCCAGCTTTACATTTTCTCTACATCTACCAATCGTTTCTATGGCAGCTATATGATATAGTTGTCCGATTTTTATGAAATTTATACCAAAATTTTAGAATAATAAAATAAGCTTATATCCCGGAGTAGATGAAAAAACGTTGAAAACCAACGAAGTTATAGTTTTTTTCCTATTATTTTCCCGAAAATTCTGAAATAATATAAAATGGCCATATCTCAAAAATGATGCAAAAATGTTGAAAAACAGCTAATTTATAATTATTTTTTCAAAAAATTTATCGAACATTTGAATGGCAGCTATATGATATAGTCGTCCGATCCCGTTCCGACATATATATCAGTGAGAGTATATAGAAGACTATATGCAAAGTTTCCTTCAGATAGCTTTAAAACTGAGGGACTAGTTTGCGTAGAATCGGACAGACGGAAGGACGGACAGACGGACAGACATACGGACGGACATGGCTAGATCGACTCGGCTGTTGATGCTGATCAATAATATATATACTTTATAGGGTCGGAAACGTCTCCTTCTCTGCGTTGCAAACTTCTGACTGAAATTATAATACCCTGCAAGGGTATAAAAAATCAGAATAATAGAGTAGAAACAATTAAAACATGAAAGGAAGGCACGTCGTATTTGTATGGCCTTGCAGTTTGCAATTAGATCATTAAGAATTGATCCAAAACTAACAGTCGATATAAAATAGATATATTTATTTATTTATTTATTTAATGCTAACTAATAGTTATAAACTAAAAGTTAACAAAGGTTAATGAGCAATGGCTACCGAGGCCTTCCGCTCTACAGTGTATTAACAAAGATATGTGTGTGGAATATGTTATAATTAAATTTTATGTATGAGATTCATTTTGTGTAGAAAGTATATAATTTTATTTGAGTTTGCTGCTGTTGGATTCGCAAGGAGATGGATTGGGTTATCATTGGAAAAGCAAATTGTTCTAACATGTGAAAGTGCAGTGCAGTATATTAAAATGTGTTGGATGTCTATCGCTGAGGTGTTGCAAAAGGGACAGATACTTGTTAGGGATCTATTCATATAATGGGCGTTTGTGAGTTGTGTGTGTCCTAGTCGTAGTCTATTTATTATAATTTGTTGTTGTCGGTTGAGGTTTGTGGTTTTGAAAGAGAAGTTTGCTGGGGTGTTTAGTAAGATCTGTTTGTACCATTGGGTAGTTTGTGCTTGAAGACTGTTCAGTTTATCGGTATAGTGTTTTTTAAGGAGTTGTGTGATGTCTTTGGTGTTGAAGTTGTCTGTAAATATTAGAGGGTATTTGTGTGTTTCTTTAGCTGCTGTGTCTGCTCTCTCATTGCCTGTATACCTATGTGGCTAGGGATCCAAATTAGTCTGATTTTGGGAAAGAGTTTGGTAATAAGTGATCTTATTGTATTAGGGTAGTAAGAGTAATTGTTTATGTTTGAAATGGATTTGATTGAGGAAAGGGAGTCCGAGCATATAGCATATTTGCCGGGTGAACCAGAGCAAATTTTTATAGCTTCATGGATTGCAATTAACTCACTAGAGATTACAGAGGAGTACTGGGGAAGGAGGCCATATTTGATTATGTCAGTATTGTTGGTTACACTGTAGCTTACAGTGTCATTTGTTTTTGAGCCGTCTGTGTAAATGAATTTGTGATCGTGTAGGGAGTTTTTAATAGAGTGGAAGAGCTGGTGGTATGTTATAGGTGAAGTTGTGTTTTTGTTGTATAGGGAAAGGGAGGTGTTTGTGGCTTTAAGAATTATTCCCGGATTGAATTTTTTTGACGTGTAGAATTTGGCGGGAGAGAATGGAAGGGAAAATGATTTGCAGGAGTCGATGATTCTGTCTAATGTGCTAGGGTATCTGTAGTTTCTTTTTGTTTTGGCTATGGATTTGGATAGTTTGCCTATTGGGGAGTTATGAGAGAGAATAAGTTTAGTTCCGAACTTGCTTGTTAAAAGTTTACATCTGTTTTCTAGTGTATTAATTTTAGCTTCAATTAGCAGGTTATAAATAGGAGTTGTTCTAAAGGCCCCGAGGGCTGCTCTTATAGCAGAGTTTTGGGTCGATTTAAGGCAGTTTAAGATGGTGGTGGGAGCTTTCCCGTATATAGGTAGGCAGTAATCAATTTTTGAGATGAGGATAGAGTTTACAATTTGTATGAGGGAGGTTGTGTTGCAGTTGTATTTTCTTGAGGAGAGGTGTTTTATGATATTTAGGGGACGGGAGAGGGATGTTTTCAGGTTAGTAATGTGATGGTTCCAACTGTATCGTTTGTTTATCGTGAGTTAGGCTGGATTTCGGAAGTGAAGTTTATAATAGAGGCTTTTTTAGCATCTCTAATTGACCTCCTGAATATGGCATTAGCTCTTTTATATTCAATCATGTTTTCTGTATTGATATTGTTTCGAAGGTTTCTCCATTTGAGGTTTTTTAATTTTTTTAAGAGGGTTAGGTTTTGGTTCCACCAGATAAATTTTTATAAAATTTCAAAAACATTATTTTTAAATCGTATAAAAAAACAATATTTCGGGTTTAAAAAATCAAATACCAATTAAATTATAAATACACATATATACAGAACAAGCCCAAGTTATATAAAGTTTCATTACATAACTAAATATTAAATAAAAATATTATTATTAATTACATAAATAAATATTTTATTTACAGTTTTACGTTCACAGTTTTATATTTTTCTCTACCGATCGTTTTTTTGGTAGCTATATGATATAGTCCTTCGATTTTCTTCAAATTGAAATTGAAATTCTGAAATGAAGGATAATGGCCATATCTAAAAGAAAATATGTTAAAAAACGAAGAAGATATTTTTTTTCCAGAAATTTAGCTTAAATGTATAAAATTCCATGGTGTAATTAATTATAAATGTTTTCTGTTGCAGAAACCCTACATTTGCAAGGCCCCTGGCTGTACGAAACGTTATACCGATCCAAGTTCGTTGCGTAAACATGTTAAGACCGTTCATGGCGCAGAGTTCTATGCAAATAAGAAGCACAAGGGCTTGCCCCTAAATGATGTAAACTCTCGTTTACATCGGGCCAACAACAATAGCAGTGGCGGTCATAAAAATCGGCAGAGTCTGCAGGAACACAACATCGACTCGAGTCCCTGCAGCGACGATGGACATGTTAGCAAAGGAATAATGTCCAGTCCGAGCATCAAGTCCGAATCGGATTGCAACTCTCCACATCATCACAATCATCAGTTGGTAAATGGAGCTCCCGACGCGTTACATCATTATCCAACATCCGATCACTTGGTGGATAATCTGACATTGGATGACAGCAACTGGAATTGTGATGACGATGTCGATGTAGCAGACCTACCGATTGTACTCCGAGCCATGGTGAATATTGGCAGTGGTGGAAATGGAAATGCAGGTGGAAATGTTAGACAACGTTTCAGAAGTCGTCTTCAAACGAAGGGATTATGCAACATACCAGAAAGTAATCATCATCACCGTACAATTGGCATTAATGAACTAAACCAGAGAATAACAGAACTTAAAATGGAACCCGGAGTTGCCTCTGTTGCTTCTCCAAATTCTGACATTTTAGGTTTTTTCGATGAAATGTCACAAAATCAAGTAAATAATCGTAATTTAATATTAAATAAGCAACAGAGCCTGCGTCGTGATAGCCAAAACTCTACAAGCAGCACTTATTATGGCAGCATGCCCAGTCGTCGCAGCAGTCAGACATCACAGCTCTCATCGATATCCACCATGCGTCCCTGTACGTCACATACAACACATAATGTCACGACAAATGCCGCCTCCTTATATGATCCCATTTCACCAGGTTGTTCGCGTCGCTCCTCCAGTCAATTGTCAAATATAATGCCAAGTTGTTATAGCTTACCTTCGGGAAATAACAACATGATTAATGTATCTATTAATGAAACCGAAGTTGGGGTAAATTTCAGTTCGTATAATAACAACAGTCACAGTCTTCCTCCGCCGCCTTCCTCACATTTAATTGCCACGAATTTAAAAAGGTTGCAAAATAATGACTTGGGAGAAGATTGTTATCCGAATCAAATTCCGGATTGCGGTCGCTATTCTATACCTAATTATAGATCTGAACTGGAGTTTTCCTATGATATATCCTCCCGACGGCAATCAGAACCAACTAATCAGCAAAATGCTGAGCCTATAAATAACATTCTGAGTTCTATAAAAATTAAAAATGACAACCAGCAGCGTAGGAAAGACCTTCCAGTGAAGGTGGATAATGTTAATACAGCTATGCTTAACCCAACCAACGATGTTAATATTGTTATGAACCCTCCCAACATCTGTGTTCCACGGTGCAACGATCAACATCCCAATGAACGCATAAATCTAGATGAAGTTGAGGAACTAATATTGCCCGATGAGATGTTACAGTACTTAAATTTGGTTAAAGAAGATAAGGGTCAAAAGCGAGATCAAGAACAAGAGCAAGATCAAATATTTTTAACAAAAGAACACAAAAGAACAGATCAATCAGACACAGAAGGTATTCCAAGTTTACATCCCGATTTCAATAACTTCCCAAGGATCGAACCGCAACCTTTAATGAAATCAAATCAAAATCAAATAATTGACTCATCCATGACTAGTTTGCCAGAGTTAAATGTCAACACTGCTGGCAAGTCAATTAGAAATCAGAATCAACACAATTATAATGAGATTCAATGCGGTATTGTAAGTCAGTCACAAATGTCCCCATCTTTAAATATTAACAATGAAGTTCTAGCCGCAACTAAAAAGATTTCAGAAGCCACAAATAATTCAAATATCAACTCAATGCAACTAGATACATATCAGCGTACTTTAGAATACGTCCAATCCTGCCAAAATTGGATGGAGACAACAAAAAATACAGCATCGACTGCTGATCAAGTGTCAATGCCAGTGTGGCCAGATGTTAGCAGTTCAACACATCCATTTTCAGGCGCCAACATGGTTATCAACGATATGACAACATCTTTGAGCTCACTATTGGAGGAAAATCGCTACCTACAAATGATGCAGTAGATGACATGAACGGAACAATGACAATATTCATCAAATCAGTAGATATCTATAAACAGTCCAGTCAATATACATATTTATATTTTATAAAAATTTTAAAAATGTTTTCAATTACCATTTTCTCGTTCAATACACGTTTTATATGTTTTATATATGCCCTTCAAAATTAATAGAAACTCTTAAAACTCAAGCATAAATACAAGTTATAATTAAAATCAATATATCATTAAGCAATGTATATTTAAGTAAGAATGTCTTCATTTTTGAAATATTTTTAATATTAAGAAAAATTATATAAACAAAATTTGTCTTCCCAATTATAATAAATAAGAACGAACAACTTTTTTAATAGACAAATAAAACCACAAAATCCTTAAAAATACTAAGTGTAAATTTGTTTGTTATCTTAACCCTCTATAATGCTACTATCCAACAAAAGTGTATGAAAAAACAGGTTCCTCAAGGTTAAGGGATACCCCTGTATGGAGGCTCAAAAAAATGGTACTAAAACCGTCCTTCAAAATTGAATTCATTGGTACAGTTCAGAGATGTACAATAGTGCACCGTAACTACAAGTACATCGCATACACGCAACGTATTGAATAAGCTCGTGTCCGAAGGCACCGCATATTTCGATGTGGTGCCAAATATGAGGAGCACCTTTTGCTTGATAGACTTTTTACTCATGAGTGACGCGCATAAAAGAGGCAGTCTTTGAGAGTGTCTTTGTCCACCGCATATTTTTGTGCGTTGCCTTTGCCCTTGCACAAACAATGCGGTGGTAAAACACCACAACTGCATATGATGCATTATTAGTAGCACCGCCACCGCATTTTAAGTGAGTATACTTGAAGTTCTCAAATCAGGCACCGGTTCAATCCCTGGTACAATTTAATCATCAAAATGAGATAATTTTATTTAAATTTGAGTAAAATTCTAAACTCTAGGATTTTGAACCACACAAAAAAAGTGAAACTCGTGTTCCCACAGAGCTGCATTATGGGGACTTCCCACACACCGTCAAAGCGCATTCACCGTCCGTTGAACTAACTGCCCATAAGGTTTTGCCGTTCCGAATTTTTTCAAATGGACCGCGCTTAGAACGCATTTGAACCTAACCACGGTTTGTTAGGCGATAGTTTTTCAGTGCAACTCTGATTTCTTCTTTTTAACAGTGAAAAGTTGACCAACACTACGAAAAATGTAAACAAAGTTGGCGGGGAACAATTGAAAAATTAAATTTAAAATGTGGCGCCAAAGCTACAAACAGGCCCAAAACAGTTGTTGGTGTTTTTCTGTATATTCTTGCCCCAATATGTCCCCAATTGTTACTATTTAATATAAACCGCCTACCTCTACCTTATTTTAAAGATTTTGGATGCCTCTACCACCTATAGACACTGTACGGGGAATTTGCTCTTTGTTAGAGAAAAAACATTAGAAAAAAAAAATTCCTTGTCATTAAATTCATTTAAATTTAGTGCGGATAAATTCTGACGCAATCTGTGCTTTTGCGGTTGTACAACAGCCAAATTAGTTGGTAAATGCTCCATTTCATTTCCAACTCTAAACTGTTAACAATTAAATTATAAGAAGAATTCAACTCGTTTTATTATAAAAGAAAACTTAAAGCCCCATACACCACATACAGGTTAATCAACCGATCACATGAGAAGGTCAACTTGTTTGTAAGTACTAGATACCCTCAGCCACCAAGGCAAATGAAGGCGTGTAGGGATTGCGAGTAACAAAATGGATCGCTATGAACGCTTCAAGACGAGTTAGAGAGACAGGCAGGCACACGTGCAAAAATCAGATGGAAGAGAATCTCCACGTCCTGTGAGATATCAAAAATCATGTTCAAGGAGCGCAATGACAGAATCAGCCACTACTTGCTGCATCTGCCACGGGAAGAACGCAGGCTGTTAGTGGGAGTTCTCACGACAACTGCAAGGAATGCGATGATTCCGAGGCTTTGGAGCATTTAATCGGCAAGCGCCCGGCTTCCGCGCAGGCCACAAATAGACACCTTAACCCCCCAGTGCTGGCATCCTTAAAAGAAGCATCCAAGAGGGCCCCAGGTGAACTAGTTGCCTTCGCCATCGATCCATACGGATTTCGAAACCGCCTAATATTCTCCAGGTTCATACACTAACACATCCGGACAACTAAGGGCCATGATGGCCTAATAGGGTCTTCCCACACAACATTAAAGCGCATTTAGCATCCGTTGAACAAATGCTCCAAAAAAAGGGTCTTCCCACACACCGTCAAAGCGCATCTGGCATCCGTTGAACAAACGGTCTATAAGGTTTTGCCGTTCCGAATTTTCTCAATTGGCCCTGCATCAAAGCGCATCTAAATGTAACGACCGTTTGTTTGGCGATAGTTAGGCGATAGTTTTTCGGTGCAACTCTGAAAATTTGACCATCACTACGAAAGTGTATACACACTTGGCGAGAAACAAATGAGATATGGAATTTAAAACGTGGCGCCAAAGCTACAAGCATGCCCAAAATAGATGTTGGCGTTTTTTCTGTATATTCTTGCCCCAATATGTCCCGAATTGTTACTATTTAATATAAACCGCCTACCTCTACCTTATTTTAAAGATTTTGGATGCCTATACCACCTATAGACACTCTTCGGGGAATTTGCTCTTTGTTAGAGAAAAATCATTTGAAAAACTAAAATTCCTTGTCATTTAATTCATTTAAATTTATTGCGGATAAATTCTGACGCAATCTGTGCCTTTTGCTGTTGTACAACAGCCAAAATAGTTGGTAAATGCTCCATTTCAACTTTGCAACTGCCAATTCGACAGCCTTTGTTTACGTTTTCATGAGCCACAGCTGATCGATCAGCTGTTCGGATGCAGATGCACTTTGATGCAGCTCTGTGGGAACACGAGTTTCGCATCTGCGAAAAATCCCAAACGTTCCTCACAGATGCGCTGTGTGGGAAGACCGTATAACAAAGAGCAAATTCCATTTTATATTAAATAGTAGCAATAGGGGACACATTGGGGCAAGAATATACAAAAAAAAAAACGCCAACAACTATTTTGGGCATGCTTGTAGCTTTGGCGCCACATTTTAAATTCCATATTTCATTTGTTCCTCGCCAAGTGTGTATACATTTTCGTAGTGTTGGTCAAATTTTCACTTTTAAGAAGAAGAAATCAGAGTTGCACCGAAAAACTATCGCCTTACTATCGTCAAACAAACGGTCGTTAGATTTAGATGCGCTTTGATGCCGGTCCATTGGAGAATATTCGGAACGGCAAAACCTTATGGACCGTTTGTTCAACGGACGGTGGATGCGCTTTGGTGTGTGGGAAGACCCTATGAAGCTAATTTTGACCCTTTGTGCCCCTTAAAAATATTTTTTCAAAAATTATTGGAAGCGATTATAAAAATCACACATTCAGGCCTGCTCCGGTAATCGAAAACGGCAAGATTTTTTCGTTTTTGAAAACGAGAAATTGCTCCGGTAATCGAAAACGAAAGATTTGTTCAATTTGAAAAACGGGCACCTTTATTTTCACACCACCACAAGATCATTCTGGCACGTAGTTATTTAAAAAAAAATTATTTCTGACACCACCTCAGATTTGACAACAACATTTTTGCCGTGTTCAACAAGTTTTCTCGTTTTGGCGATAGGTCGATAAGTTCACCGCAAAAAGTTATCGCCAAGGTTGCCATATGGTTGGTGGAACGAAACATCCAGTTAAAAATACTTATAAAATATAAATGAATACATTAATAACTTTAAAGGACCGCCAAAATGGTTGTTTATAAATAATGCTATTTAATGTGATTACTTAAATGGTCCAAATTAACCAAATAATTATTTGAGACCACCGGAATTAAAACTGTGAAAAGTGTGGCAGCATCTTAGGTGCATAGATTTGCTTAACTCTACCATTTTTGCCTTTTTCTGGCTTATAAAAAGGGCAATTGTAAATATAAAAGGCAGTACTTTACGTTGTTTTCTTATTACCAAAAACACAAGTTAGCTGTTTGAGCAGTGGGAAACGATGAGAAAACGAAACATTCCGATAGCAGAAATTTGCCGAAATCCGGAGCAGCTAATAACGGAAACGGTTCGTTTTCGCCCAAAACGAAATCGAAAAAATTTTACGATTACCGGAGCAGGCCTGATTATTCAGTTTTTGGTAATCGCATATTTTCTTTTGCGATTTATAATGTTTTTCTTGCATTCGAATGTTTTGAAATCTGTTTTAGAATTTGCTAAATTCTTTTAAATTTGATCAATTTGATCAATGCAACTATGTTAAAAAAAAAAATTAATAACTGTATTCTGTAATAAATAGCTATATATGTACGTATTAAATGAAAATATATTGAGAAACTGTAAACTGTAATTAAGATATTATTCTTTTAATTAATATTCCGATCGTTGCTATGCCAGCTACAAATATAACTGTAATAGAAAAGACTTAAATTGCTTAAAAACGATATCGCTAAGACGACTAGGCTGTTGATGCTGATCACGGGATCATTGCTACTCATTTTCAGAAAACATCTTTTGATTGATACTTCTTACGCTCAATTGTAAAATTATTTCTTATTCAGCGTACAGTTGTAGTTTTATGTTTTGTTGTTAAAAATTTGTTTATTATTTATTGAATATGTGTAAGTTTCATAATATTCTCAAGATATTGAGCCTATAAAGTAAAAAATAAAAAAAAAATAATAAGTAAAACTTGGAAATACAGATTTCGTTTGTTTTATTTATATCAATAAGAGTTTTTTGTAGCTCTAGGATAGCAAATGAACATTTAAAATGTTAAGTAAGCACGCCTGTATTTTTGTAGTGTTATTTGGAACGTCATGCAAGTTCGTAGTAAGCCATCATCTAGAAAAAACAAAGACAAAATAGTTTGAGATTATAAAATATTTAAAGTTTACACATAATAAAATTGTAATGGATTTCAGAAACAATATCTTCATCACGTGTGATAAGAGACGAAAAATAAAAGTTCATCACATTCAAAAGTAAATTCATATTTTTACAATGCATTTTTTGCTAAGAGTACAAAATGAATATTTTAAAGTAATACAAAATGTTTCGTTTTAATCGACTTTACATACCATTTTTTCTTTATTCCAATCCGCCGTCTAACCTAAAATTATAAAAAATGTTAAGACTTGCCATTTTCTTTTTACTTTTGTTAAACTCACGCTATTTAAAGGTAAATTTGCCACGATCCAGTAACCTATATATAAAAAGTAGAAATCCAAACATATTTACTAAAAAAACAAATATTTCCCATTTTGTGTGGATTAGATGTGTATTTCTTTTA